ATCATTGTGTAACAATTAGTAAGTTTAAAGCCTTTAACATGTTTTGATGGATTACTTGAACGCATTGCTGTGTAAACATGTTAGTTACACCATATTCAATGCAATGCAACGTTGCCGATTTCCCGCCGAAGGATCAATGGTGCTCGAACGACCAAATAGACTATGGACGCAAACGTTTTGTGGCTTCACGGCGATTTAATAATTGATTTTCCGCGGGTAACCTATAAAAATTCTATTGCGGATGATCGGCAACTGAAGATCGGTCTGATGTGGCGCTGGGCTTAGACTAGGAAGAAAGAGTTGGTGAAAGTGTGATACGAGTAAGCTAGAGAGGTACCTTCGATGAAGGAGGCGTTGATGTAGGTGGAGTAGTCGCGCGCGGGCAGCGGCGCGAGGATGACGCGGTTGCGGTCGTAGGGCAGGCAGTCGCCGCTGCGGTTGCGCGCGCGCAGCTCCTCCGCCGCGCCCGCCGCGCACGACTTCACCGGCTCCGCTATCGGGCTGTTTATCATTTTCTGGAAACCACACGACCGCTTTGAACGAAATTTGCTAGCATGGGTACCTTCCTCAATCGTGTCTTTGCCGCGAAGCAACTCGTTTTGACTTGTAGGATATGACAGTGAAATTACAACGTACGGAGGCACAGTAACTTAGTCTTTGAGTAACAGAGTATTAAGAATACCATAAGTGATGGAGTAACACTAGGTGTCATGTCGTATAGAGAGATAAAGGACATGGCCTGGGATAGAGATGGCTGGAAGAAGATGCATGAATTAGTTGCACCGACAAGAGGAAACTCTTAAATGAAAAGAAGTGTTGGAGTGTGATCAATGAGAGCCACATTATTATTCATGTCTATAGGCAAAGTTTATCGCCTACCATTACTGTTGTCATTGTAGTAATCGCAATAATAGATACGGCTACATTTTGTTGAGCAGATTAGAATATATCGGGGCAGGAAGCGAGCTTACCACCGTCATTCGAATTGATTTGTTACCTGTTTTTCTTTCCCGGAGGGTAGTCAGAAATTAAAATTAACAGTTTTTAATGTCAATCACATTGCCATGTATTGAGTATCCCCTCCGCAAATAAAGTGATCCCCTTTTCTCTTTTCCCCATAAATCCAATGAATTTTTTATCAACTTTCTTAACTCACTCCAACATTTCCTTTTTTCATACAACTTCTTCTTCATACTTCATGTGACAGATACCACCAATAAAGGTATTCCCAACAAGGTATTCCAAACAACTGTTGCCATAAGACAGACAGCCGTAAAACCAAAAAATCAAAACCTTGTGTAATATGAATAAAATCACATTATGCTGACGTTAATTTTTTTTTTATACAACTTAGAATGGCAAACAAGCTGACGGCCCATCTGATGAAAAGTGGTAACCATCGCCTATAGATATGAACAGTACCATGGACATAACAGAGTATACTGTTTCGCCCATGATACCCCCCATGTGTTGCCATTCCTGAGGACTCAGGTGTTATTCCTCTGTACACAGTAAATTCATGCCATATCCCACCCTTCAAATCGAAACACAGCCATGCAAACACAACTGCTTCACGGTTGAAACACGAATAGGACAGAGGTACCCAAGCAATCGACTTTAATAAATAAGTTAAATAAATAAATTAAATAATAAATAAATAAGGAGATGTTAATTTGATTGTCACGACCGTTACAGTCTACAGGTTAAGGTAGTACAGCAGTGAATATACTTAATATAATTATATATAATATACAAGAATGAATAAAATTTCATCAGTATCAGGGTGTGCGCGGCATACCTCGAACTCGATCTCCATGAGGCACTTGTCGGCGCCCTCGGGCGTGTTCCGCAGGCGGTCGATGGCGCTCTTGAGCCGCGACGCGGGGATCTCCGTGTCGCCGTACTGCGCGTACTCCACCAGCGCGCGGTACACGAACACGTACTGCTTCTGTACGCCATCGTACAAACAGTGGGTAAGTATTACGTAAACAAATAAATATATAGTAAGAAAATTCTACAATTCTGGCCAGAAAATAGAGTTTAATTTATACAATATTTTTATTATTATATCCGTTGTTAACCTAACGTGCGCATTGCAACTAAAAGTGCCACGAGCGTCATAGCGCTCGTGAAATCAGACGCTGTTTAGCTAGCTGTAAAAAAAAATATTAAAATTGAATAATTTTTGGAGGAGATACAGTTTTTTTAGCGACAATGGTAAATGACATCAACACGACAAAGATTTCTTTAGCATTTTTAAGTAGATATGAGTAAAAATCAATGGCACTAAAAGGGTTAATTGTATTATAAGTAGTTATATAAGCTATATATATATATATATATATATATATATATATATATATATATATATATATATATATATATATATATATATATATATATATATATATATATTCTAGCTGTCGAGTCGTAAACTACTAGCATGACTTACACCACACCAGTACAGAGCGAAAACAGGAGTACAGCGACACTCACCAGCGACTGTACGAGGAAGTTCCGCTGGCGACGCAGCTCGGCCACGGTGTTGAAGACTGCGGCGTGTCCGGTGGCCCGTAGTTGGTCGAGCAGGCAATCGAGCGCCACCAGCGTGCCGGTGCGGCCCACGCCGGCCGAACAGTGCACCACCACGGCCCGCCCCACCATCCACGACCACGCTTCGTTCACGCGCTGCACCAACAACATATAATGTATATTTTGATTACAATACATAATAATTTTTCATTATTGAGTATTGTAGCCAAATTTAGTAGAAATTATCACAGGAATACAATTACTAAATGGAATTAGTAATAAAGTTTTAAAAAAAGAAACATTCTTTTTTTTATACAACTTAGAATGGCAAACAAGCTGACGACCCACCTGATGGAAAGTGGTAACCGTCGCTTATAGACATAAGCAGTACCATGGACATAATAGAGTATACTGCTTTGCCCATGATACCTCCCATGCATTGCCATTTCTGAGAAACACAAATTCTGTACCCTGTAAATTCACGCCATATCCAACTCTTCAAACCGAAACACAGCCATGCAAAAACAACTGCTTCACGGTAGAAACACGAATGGGACAGAGGTACCCAAGCAATCGGCTTTTTGTACAAAGTCTCCCTCTGGTAAGAGGACCCTTTATTAATAGATTTGTTTTTCTACTACTGTACATCAGAAGACTGTATTATGGTTGGGTCAATTATTTGTTTCTTTATATTTTCCTTAAATGTTATTAAAACAGATTAGATTGAAGAATATTTGAATTTAGAAGACGGAGTCTGCACAAAGATAAACTTTAGAGTAAAAGACAGTTTTGTGTCAAATGGAAAGCAATTTAGCATTAGTCTAGACAGCTGTAATGTGAGAAATAAATGTTCATTATCAAATTCAGTCTATATCAATTAGTAAGCGCATAAACCAAAGAGCCGCCTGGCTACTGACCTTGATGAACTTGAGTATAGAGTGCGGGTACTCGGGCGCGGCGAAGTCTTTCCACATGAGGAAGTGGTACTGACGCACGCAGCGGGACTCTTCCTTGGAATCGCGCGGCGTCGTCGGCCTGCTGCCATCTGCTGCCTCGCCGCCGCCGCCGCAATCTACAGGACACATACGCACATACTCATATTATTACCATTCGTTTACATCAAAATACATGTTGTTTATTATTCATTCATACTAATTCATGGCATCTCTTTTCTATGCCCACCATCTTCATTATCATATGCCTATATAACTGACAGTTCACTCATTCAAAGTTATAACAGTACAAATCAGACATGTTTTTGATAATCCATTGGTCGTTGTTTCAAATCCGACTCCGAAGGACCAGAAGCTATTCATATTTGAGATTGAGGAGAGGACTATACTATTATATCGATAATACCACAATTTTAAATATCTCAAGATGAAGGGCAAAAGTGACTTTTTTGCTGACATTTTTTTTTTTAATTACCATAATTAGATACTAATTACTATTAATGTAATAAATATTATTAATCTAATAATTTAAAAAATATAGTGTTATCAATATAAATGCTTTGTAATATCAATATGTTTTGTTATATTTAGCTCATACCTCCATTTCTTTTAGCTATTCCGTTGTTTTCAACTATTGGCTGTCCATCTGCGTTGGTTGGTTGTTTTGTAATCCTCAGCTCTCTGACTATATAATCTGAATATCTGAAATTTAAAGCATTAATTAGCAATTTATTTTTGTTCAAATCTAATACAAATATAATTCTTTTTTTTTTTTTTACAAAATTCCTTAAATACTAATAACAATTAAAAGTAATCTCCCAACGCACCACACCGAGGCAGCGTACCCAAGATACTGGCAGCATTACCTCTTTGGATTGCCAAACTTTTGGGCAAAGTAGCTAAGCTACCAGTAACCTCGATGAGGCGCGCTGCGATCGTCCGATAAAAATTCTTTGCATCTGGGCCCCACGGGCCCATCGTCTCTACAGCAAATGGCAGAAAACAATAAGACCCCTCCAGATGTGAGTATTTACGCCTCTTTATTGCTTCCGCTGTCACCGCCGCAGCACCCGAACAAGAGGACGATTTAGATAAATGGCTTGGAGCTAACGTGTCTACACATGTCGCATCCCACACCAAGCATTTCCCCATTTTCCAAGGAACCAAAGTTACGCCATCAGGTCATTTCCCATCCTCACGGAAAATGCCATTTGGTTCCAAAATCGCTGGTATTTGTGTCATCACAAGTGCCCTATGAATAATGTTATTGATCATGGCATGGCGAGGTATTCGACCTGCACTTCTCACACAGGACAGACCATGGTATCCCAGCTCTTCAACTGAGGCTCCACAGCTACAACGATGGGGCTGAACTATTTTTACACCCAACCGCAAACCTATTAATAATGTAAAGGAGCAATCGTCGAGAAGCGTTCCAGTATTAGTTGACGGGAATGCCTGCAACCAATATCCCGATTCCCTTTCAGCTACTGCTTGAAGACGGACACGAGTTTCAGCGGATTCTCAATGGGTTACAAGGTTCTGCTGTGTTTTAATACAGAGTGGTTCATCCCACTGCCTTTGTGAGTGACATATATTAGGCATATCAGATGAAGGACATTGCAACTGCCAAGCATTCACAGCCCCGCCCACTCCCCAAATCTCTACGGAACCCGAACTAGGGTTAATGATTTTTCCGCAAAGAGGGTTTGAAGCATGGACTGACGCCAAAAATGCCGGAAGAGCAACAGATGAAACTTTTCTTACGCCTAATCCTCCATGACGCACTGGTAATGTGGCTTGATTCCAAGCATCATCAACCAACTGACAATTTAGAATTTTGATTAGAGTTTCCTTTAATATCATATCTAGTTTCATCAATTGTTCTGGAAACCTCCAAAGCATTGAACTTCTCATAGCATATGTAAATTTAGGCACAAATAGACACCACCTCATCACAAATAATGCCATGTGTGTATTTTTTTGTATGTGTGTATTAGCAATTAAATTAATAATAGATTCCTGTAAGCTTTGTGAAAATGGAATTACAACATCGAATGAATGAACATCTGAATGGTCTGTTTCTATACATTTTAATAGAAATGTATGTAAACAAACGAATAACTATGTAACTCTTACACATTACCATTTCTAAGCACTGTAATTTTATGCCTCCATACTCTGTAATTTCACTGTCATATCCCATCTGTCATACTGTAACAAGGCCATGCAAGCGCAGCTATTACCAGGCAGAAACAGAAGTACCCGAGCAGACGAATTTTGTACAGTCTTCTATTTGTTATAATAATTCAAAATTTTGTCCTACAAAAACTCGACTTCTATTACAGTCAAACCAGTTATTTTGATTTAAAAACTAAATTATTGAATTTATTTCGATAAAATTTATATAGGACCAATGTGTAAGTATATCCCTTTCAAATAAAAAAAAAAGAAATCAAAAAGTTAATCTTATTTAAATAATGCAGGTATTGCAGCAAAAATATGTTACATGCAGAAAAATATATCCGAATTGAGAACATCTTTCCTTTTTGAAATCGGTTGAAAAAGAAGTATAATATTTATATTGTACTTTTTTTAAGTTCCCAGTTAATTTGCTGCAAAGGTATTTGGTGAAAAGGTTAAAGATAAAAAAAATAAATACCAACCGTTTCTCGCCCACGTGCTGTACAGTTATGTTGCCAAAGTTCTTGGTGCCTCGCTCCTCCGGCCAGTACTTGCTACACTTGACCTTGGAGTACTCCTCGAGATTGGTCAGCATCACGATCAGCTCCAATCCGTGCTCCCATATCATCCGCCAGAAGTCATTCACGGTAGTGTCCGTAGGGCCTTGCGCGCAAATAAACTGCTTGCGTTCCTATATAACGGAAAATGGGGAACTTTAAACTTTATCGAGCGGAATTTAATAATTAACTTTTTTTTTCTAAAAAAAAAAACTTATTACCTGAATTAGTAAGAGATACACTGGGCTAAATTCTTATCAATTTTAATCTAATCATTTAGGAAAAGAATTATTAAAACCAATTCTAAGTTTAGAGAAGATATGGTGTTAGAAGTGAAGAATTTTTGGATTCTAAAAAATATTTTCTAATCGCAGAATTATAAAAGATATTCAATTGTTCTGTTTACTTTAATGAGGAATAAGAGTTCAGTTCCCTTTTTTGTTATTATGAAACCAAATAATTAATCCTTATATTCGATTGAACTTGTCAATAAATCTATTTCATTATTCCTTTTATTTGGATGAAAGAAATATGTTCTCCAGTTTTATTGATTCGCTATGATTCACGAATTCAATAGAATGTAATAATTTGATTTTTATATACTTTACTACCTATAAATAGTCTGATTCTAGTAAACTTAATAAAAAGCTAATCGTACTTTGTTAAAATTATCATAGACAAATAGAAAAATTTAATCAATTATTCAATTTTAGATTATAAAGTCAGCAACAGACGTTTCTACACAAAACTACAAACATTTCTGAACGTTACTGTATACCATAAATCACTGATCAAAATAATTTATAAAACAACTTAACACCTCTGTGATTGAGTTTGAATCTGCAATTGAAATTGCCTTACTGCTGCTGACTGTAACTATTCGACGTCTTCATAGCCAATCAACTTGGCCATAAATTAGTTAATCAATTTGGCCATAAAACAGTTTACTGAAACTGTTTTATGGCAAAGTTGATTATATTTTGTTTACAATTACATTAAGGCCTATTGAAATAAACCACAGTTGTAAATAAGTATACCAACCCGAAGCTTTCATGCGATATATTAATCTCGTGGCAAGTAATTTGTCTCCTTTTATATAGTTTATATGGTACATTACAGATATACATTTAATTATATATAAGGAAAACATGCAAGTTAACGCCATAATAAATGTATAAATAGAATAATGTATAAATGTATGACACATACAAGACCATTGATACCGAAGTCTTTACATTAATTTTAAAAATATATTAATATTTGTAAAAAAAATTAAGTGCCCCGTAGTGAATTGAAACATAATACAAGATTTTTATTAAACTATTATTGAATTTTTGGAACTGAATATTAAAATATTCGTCTACAGTGCAATTAGATAGATATAGATAGAATAGAAATAGAGGAGTTTCCTCTCTACAGCAACTTTTTGAAGAATTGTACATTAATAGCCCGATTATATTATTTTTAAACACCCTTTCGACATCAATTTTTGAGACTTGAATCTTATGGTAAACCAATAAATAACCATCTCAAGTTTCAAGTATGCTGTAATTAATTTCATTTTCGATCTATTTTTACTGTGCTATAAGGTTTCACCAGAATAAATGAATCAATTTAAAAAAATAATTATGAGGCTATAAGTTATGAGGTAACCAACAAAAAATTCAACTAAATTAAGAACCCCCTCTTTTTTAGAAGTCGGTTAAAAAAGTAGGCAAATTTCGGTATAAACGCTCTTGTCACTTTGGCAATGTATACATGCAATACCTGATTAGTTTCCGAAGGGTCCTTAGCAAGCAAAGGACAAACAAACTGATGTTAGACATTGACACAGTAAAAACCAACTAAAAAAACATATTAACATACAAAATGTGAATTAAAAACAGACAAAACAACTATAAAAATCGTCGTTAATTTAAATTCCTTATTTATAAATGCTAATAAAATTTTTATTACATAGAATATTATTGAATAGGGGGCAAAAAAATAATTACTTCATGTCAAAAATCAAGAGGTGAAGAGACTCGCTGAAAATCGTAGTGAGTGGCAAAAGCTCTACCGACAAGAGCGCAGCTCTTAAATAGGATAGATAGATAGAAATGACCCTAATTAGCTGCTAAAATATATAAAGCTTTTATATAATTATTATTATGTTAAAGAGTCACATATTGAGGAATAAACATCCATCGAAAAACAATAAACCATAAATTTTAATAAAAAGTGATAAAAGCATTATTATTAAACTTATAATATTTGTGTATTATTTATAATATATATCTATTTAAACTTATTTACTGATGTAAATTTTTATTCATTTATTTATACTTACCGTTGTTTTCAATTGTAGAGACGTTTAATTAATTTATTTTTAACTATAACATTTAAATAGATTGGTACACATGTATATGTGTACATGGCATACTAATAAACTGTCAGTTTATTTCATATAAGAGAAATCTCTTTTAGAGATAAGCTCGCCTTTGTGCACTATTATGTTTGTTTTTTGATACAGTTACTTTTTGTGTACAACAAAGAATAAAGAATAAGCAATATCTTCCAATCTATAGGTGAGAACATTAAAAAAAATGAATATTTTATATTTATACAATATTAAATTTTAAATTAAATATAAATTAATTTAAAATATTTATAGGATTGTCCTTCTACACTCCTCGCAAAAATTAAGGGAACATAAAAATTTTTGAAATTTTTGGGTGATTTTCAACAGGCTGTATTTCAGTGAAAAATAATCGTACAGGAAATTTAAAAAAAAGGTTTTGAAGCTTGAAAACTCTAGTTTTCAGATTTTTTGGTAAAAAAATTTTTTGAGCTCCGGTTTCCATAATTCTTAAACAAAGCTAAAATAAATTTTTTCTAAATTTTCTAGGTTTTGTTTTTCACTCTATGGGCATAAAATTTTTTCGAGCTACTCCATTGTATAGGTCTCTTAGCATGTTTATTCAGCTTCAAAAATCGCTTTGGATGGCTCAATTACGACCATTTGTCTCCGAGATATCGAACTTTGAATGCAAAAGCATCCTTTTCCATTCAACTGCTAATATCTCTGGAACTACTGGTCGCACAGCAATTTACGCCGAGTTTCTTTATCTGCATAAAATTTCCAATTAAGCACAGTCAAGAGTTAGTGAAGAAAAAAATTTTTTCCACCTCTAACATTGAATTAAAAAAGTGGAAAAAAGTGACTTTTTCTCCTTTTTTGGTTACTTGGCTGTATCTTCGCTAATATGGGCGGGAAAGCTAAGGTTTGAGGAAAATTTTACAGTCTATTGTTCCTTAAAGACCCCCTAAATCCCTGGAGCGATCGGTTCAACGGTTTTCCCGGACCAATTGATTGAAATTTTGGAAAAAATAAGGGAACAAGGTTTTTGTCCCTTAAACTCACCCTAATCCATTCAAAAATCAATAATTTCATTTGTTTTTCACCTTTTACTCAATTTTTTGTTTTTTAAAAATTCATTATCAAAAAATAATCGATAAAAATCAAGAAAATTTTTAAGAAAAAATTTTTTTTGAAAAGTCGAAAAAAGTTTACAAAAAATTTTTTTTTCGTTTTTAAGGAAATCAAAGTTTTTGACAAAAACTTTGATTGATGATCGATTTACCGCCGGCATTAGCGTTACCCAAAGCATACCACGTGGAGAAACACACACACACACACACTTTAGAAAATGAGTTTGGAGTCATTAAATACTGCGGAGCTGACGAACCACGGGGTCTCATTTCTTCTAAAAATTACTTACACAACACTAACACACACACTCTTCAGAAAATGAGTTCGGAGTCACGAAATACTGCGGAGCTGACGAACCACAGGGTCTCATTTTTTCTGAAGAATCCCATATCATAAACACGTGCGTAAGCACAAAAGAAGCGTAAATCCGACCGTGCAACCTCCACGTGGTATGCTTTGGGTAACGCTAATGCCGGCGGTAAATCGATCATCAATCAAAGTTTTTGTCAAAAACTTTGATTTCCTTAAAAACGAAAAAAAAATTTTTTGTAAACTTTTTTCGACTTTTCAAAAAAAATTTTTTCATAAAAATTTTCTTGATTTTTATCGATTTTTTTTTTGATAATGAATTTTTAAAAAACAAAAAATTGAGTAAAAAGTGAAAAACAAATGAAATTATTGATTTTTGAATGGATTAGGGTGAGTTTAAGGGACAAAAACATTGTTCCCTTATTTTTTCCAAAATTTCAATCAATTGGTCCGGGAAAAACCGTTGAACCGATCGCTCCAGGGATTTAGGGGGTTCTTTAAGGAACAATAGACTGTAAAATTTTCCTCAAACCTTAGCTTTCCCGCCCATATTAGCGAAGATAAAAAAAAAGGAGAAAAAGTCACTTTTTTCCACTTTTTTTAATTCAATGTTAGAGGTGGAAAAAAATTTTTTCTTCACTAACTCTTAACTGTGCTTAATTGGAAATTTTATGCAGATAAAGAAACTCGGCGCCCGCTTGCTATGCGACCAGTAGTTCCAGAGAATTAGCAGTTGAATGGAAAAGGATGCTTTTGCATTCAAAGTTCGATATCTCGGAGACAAATGGTCGTAATTGAGCCATCCAAAGCGATTTTTGAAGCTGAATAAACATGCTAAGAGACCTATACAATGGAAGCTCGAAAAAATTTTTCCATGCCCATAGAGTGAAAAACAAAACCTAGAAAATTTAGAAAAAATTATTTTCAGCTTTGTTTAAGAATTGCATTCAAAAATTTTTTTACCAAAAAATCTGAAAACTAGAGTTTTCAATTCAAAACCCTTTTTTTTAAATTTCCTGTAATTATTTTTCACTGAAATACAGCCTGTTGAAAATCACCCAAAAATTTCAAAAATTTTTATGTTCCCTTAATTTTTGCGAGGAGTGTATTATATATTATTATAATTATTATTCTATTATATAAATAATAGGATACTAATTATATGTATAAATAATTTGATTGTATTTCACAATCATCATCATCAATGTAAAATAACATTTTGTGTAAATTTGTTCATTTCAATTTGCTCAATAGTAAACACTGAAAAATGAAATAAATGTAATTAGATATACTGCGTTGCCCCAAATAAATGGAAAAATGCAAGGCAATCCAAGGTATAATGGATATATATGCATGGATGGTAGCGCCTTTCAATCACAGCTTGTATTACAGATACTAGATAAAAGATAAAAATATTTTTTAAGTGCTTTACTTTTAAATTACGTATGCTACCTAGGTGTACGTGCATTTGAATGGTATAATGAAATGAAGCACAAACATATTCCGATTGTACTCACCACCAGTGTCTACAATTATATACCAGACGAGTTACATTACTGAATCGGACTGCAGACTGGTTTATATACAAGTGACATGGTTCCAATTAATAAAAAAAAAAAAAAAATGCATGAACGCGTAAGATATGTACAGACACTGTTCTAATACACATTTAGTAGTACCTATTGTATGAATGTTTCATACGGTGATCATAATTTTTAAAGCAACGTTATTACCTAACTGAGCAAAGCCAAAATGATTCCTAGTAATCTGTATACCCCATAAGGAATAGCGTGAACAATAGAAGAAAAAAACAAATAGTTTATAGGAGTCCAACTTCGTACGTAGAAATAGCTGTTTCTAATTTGCAGTAAATAAGATACGAGAGTGAAAGCAAAACGGTGCGACTGGGATAGTAAATTTAACATCGCGAATCTATACAAATCGAGTGTGAAGAGGACAACATTACTGGGTTAGAAGGAGAGAGAACATAGATGATTAGACAGAGTTTGACTCCTATATATTATATGTACAGGGCGTATTAGAAAAGTGTTTTTTAACGATAGCGTTAATTGAACAATGTTGTCGCAATACTGTGAATACTTGTGACAGTAATACATATACTAACGGTAGCAGAGTGAAATAAAATTATTATATTTAAATAATAACTGTGAGTACGCTAATATCGCGACGGTTACGTGGCGGAATCGAGATGTTATTAGTAATATGGTGTTAAAAATTAAAGCTCACGACTATAATCATTGAATAAGGTAGTCAGAGTCATTTAACAAATGTTGTAGTTGTGGTAGAATATTCAAACATATTTCACCGAGCATATTAGAATTTAATGGAGCAGAAGGCGAATCTACGTCGTTACTGGAATTAATTTAGATAAAATATTTATATAATAATGAAAATCCACGTCTAAGGTTGAAATAGAATTATAAAAATAAATAGCATATGTATAAGTGGCAGAAATATCTAACACTAATTCAATTTTGAGTGTATTTTGGTAGAGGGACTAGTGGTTTTTGCCTACATCAGGACGCAAGCGAAACTTCGCAAAGACATGTCTTAGATTACACAGGCACCTTATTTTAAGCCACGCTTCCTCTAAAATATACGCTAATCCTAAATACGCCAATGAATTCAATCCTTTTTGAATAGTCGATGAAAATGTCGCAGTGATATTGGAACTCTATCGGTGCTAATGCAATGATTATCGTTTAATATTGTTGTCACTGCAATCCAGTTGTAAGGTTAGTTTAGCCCACGCTTAAAAACATTTGTGTAATACTGCTATATAGTGAGCAAAAAAGTGCTATATGTGAAAGTATATAAGTCTTAATTTTAACAGTTTATTTATATTTATAATATCAAAACCCGGATATTCTTTTGTATAGACTTTACAAACTTAAATTTTACTCACCCTGTAACCCATGACGTAATTGGCGTTGATGTAGTCCGATCCGGTGATGCTATCAATTTGCGAGAGCTTCACCCGGGTCTGGTCGTAGGCCTTTATATCCGGATATCGGTTCTTTGACTGGTTCTCCCGGGCCTCCGACGCGTGGGTTGTACGATCCGGGAAACATTCGGGCAGCATCTGTAACAACTTTGTTATTTTCGTTTCATGGTTATAGCTTGGTTATTTAGTTAGTACATTATACATTTTAGTAAGTAGTATAGTTACATTAACGATAGAGTAGGGGGCATTATAACAAATATATTTTGTATAAAAATAAAATAATGACCCTGAACACGTCCACGCACGCACGCACACATACACACACGCACAAAATACAGATTAATTGTGTAGTATATCCACATGTTTACATGGGGTTGAACATATCTATACAGGGTTGAATATATCTGTGTGGGATTAAACGAACATAATTATGCCACGCTTATCATATTTGGTCTCTAACATATTAGTTACTCTGTATACGACTTTACCTCGAATTCCTTTTGGAAGCCGTAGTCTGAGTCGAGCTGCCGCTCGGCGTATGCAGCGGCGAGGTCTTCCTTGGCGATGGGCGGCATGTCGGGCGGGGCCGCTGTTACCAGCTGCTGTCGACCGCCGATGTGTTCCACGACATACCTTTTACATTACATTATAAAAATATACATCGATAGTCAGTGCATAAAACAAAACCCCATTTAGCCTTAAATTAAGCAGAGCTTGTACTATGGTTACTAGCCAACAGACATAAATACTTAAATACTAAATACATATAATATATAGAGAATACTCAGACTCAATATCAACGGTTATCAAGGAAACAAAAATGTTTGTATTGTGTGGGGTCCATTACTTGTTGAATAAAGTACTCATTGAAACCGCGGTCATCGGAATGTAAAACAATGTGTTAAACCACTAGATCATCAAGGACCATTAAGACATATACAAGGTTATGTAATAGTCGTTAGCCTTATGTAAAACTACCCCCCAAATACTTCATATAAAAATACCATTGATTGATCCGTGATTGTTAAAACTATAGAAATTATTAACGTCTACGTACATGTGACAGTGTGTGTGTTTGTAGTTTCGATTCCCTCGGGAAAATAGAGTTTTTAGAACCTTTGTATTTTTTTGGGAAAAATGCTTAGTTTCATTTATATTAAACTTTATATGCTAATGATTTCGATTATATATATATATATATATATATATATATATAACTTCTTGGTGCTTACTGATTAAAATGTTTTCAATTAACCGTTATGCAACTTGGTATATATTCAGCATGGGATCTTAGTTACAGCTTCTAGAACTATATATTACTAGACGCATTCACGTACGTGTGCGTGATTTGTTTGCGTATTGTATATTGAGTGCAGTTGCATTCGTGTGCGTATACGAGCGCGAGTGTCGAGTGTCGAGCGGTGAGCGACGTGGTGTGCGCACCTGTAGACTCGCTGCAGCGAGTTCATCTCGAGGTGCGCGTGCGGCGGCAGCTTGCGCGAGCGGCGCGAGTGCAGCACGCACCAGCCCACCGCCACCGCCAGCACCAGCGCCGCCGCCGCGCAGCTCACCTGCACACCGCGCACACTATCACACACGTCCACACGCAGCTCCCCACTTACTACTCACTATACAAATATAAGTCTACATTTATGTCATCTTATTGTTAAATAATTTTAATTATCAATTATAATAATGCCTTGTGTGCCCTAGCATAAAATGGGAATGAAACCGGGGGAAAGGGATTGTTAATAATGGAGACTGAGAATCCCATTGCTAGTAATATACCCAATTAGGTCCACCTCCTCGCGGTTCCCCCTGGAAACTATCATGGTTAATTCCTGATGAATTCATCATGATGGACTAACTGGCCTGTTTTCATTGTCATCTATCACCCTCCACTAGTGCTCCGCCAGATTATCCCGTTAACGCAGGCAGAAATACCATACCATTTTCACCCATAAAAAAAAAGAAAAAAATGGGAATAAAACATCTCTTAGAGCCTAACTGCGGGTGCCAATCTGCAAAACTCCCCTTATGGGGAAGGCTTACATTCAGCAGTGGACAGTTAACGGGTTAAATAATAAAAATAACGCCTACTTCAAGACAGTATCAGTACTCGGTGTAGAGTATATGTGGAGTATATCGCACCTTCGGTAAGACAAGGGGCATAACATACAAAAAAAAAAAAAAAAATAGCAAAATGATTTAAATATGTAAAAGAAGCATAAAAACATTTCTTTTTCTGGTCAAACAAACGGGCTATTCGCCGTTAAACTGCATTAGTGTCTTTGTCATTTTGGATGAATTTGGCGAACAACACGATATTAAATGTAAAAAAAAAAAAAAAAACTTGAAATGGCTGCCGTGTAAAATCACAAAAGTGGAGTTGTGCCGTTGTGTGTCCGAAGGTGCGATACGTGGTGCCGAGGTGATACCTGCAGCGCACGCTGCAAGGCGGGCGCGGGCGGCGCGGGCGCGGGCGCGGGCAGCAGCACGTGCACGTACTCGCTGTACAGCGCGGCCAGCGGCGCGCGCGCTGCCACCACGCCCACAAACAACATTATATCACAATACACATTACTCGTGCTCACAATACAATCAAATCATATTTATTTGCTTGTCACATGGTGGAATAAGGTGTTACATATATGACTAAGTACATAACATGCAGCACACCATAGGGCAGCAAATATTAAATTTAAAATGGTTTTATTATATTGGAATTACAATATTCTTAATGTCAAATCCTTACATCAAATCATTTTATAAAATTATGTTTATGTTTTAAATAATATTTAATACATTAAGGCTACATATAGATAATGGGCCAGTTAGCTAAAGCCAACGTCGCATTGGGCCGATCTGCGGTCGTCGATCTACCGCAACAATCATCCAATATAAAAATCAATTATTCGGTCGAAACCGAGCCCAAACATTACACGGCGATTCAGTCGTCACTGATCTACAGTTGACGGAAGATCGGTAACGGTGTGTGAATTGCAATTATAAACTTGAAAGTGTTTGTTTGTTACCTTACAGTCCTTTAACAGATTAACCATTACCAGAAGGAGACTTTGTACAAAAGTCGTTTGCTTGGATACCTCTGTCCCATTCGTGTTTCAACCGTAAAGCAGTTGTGTTTGCATGGCTGTGTTTCGATTTGAAGAGGGGATATGGCGTGAATTTACAGGGTACAGAAAAATAACACCTGATTTCTCAGGAATGGCAACGCATGGAGGATATCATGGGCGATACAGTATACTCTGTTATGTTCATGGTACTGCTCATGTCTATAGGCGACGGTTACTACTTTCCATCAGGTGAGCCGTCAGCTTGTTTGCCATTCTAAGTTGTATAAAAAAAAAAAAACAATTACTATGAAATTTTATTTTATTTATTATTTCGCACATTATTTCGAAGTACTTACGGATAAGTTCCACAAACAGGGTGTAATTGGAGGCGGAGTTAAGGGGTCCATCTTTCACTTTAATGGCGATATCTGAATAGTCGTTATCGTCGACAACCTTATCCGACATTATGGCGTCTTTGCTATAGTCACTGTAGATAGATAGATACTTTTTATTATCCAAAAACTACATAATTTTAAATATTACTAAAATAACAAAATTGTTCGACTCGACAATGTTTGTATATAGGAGATATTTAAGAAAAATTAAATTTAATAAGCTTAATAGCCAAAACAAAGTTTTTTTTTACTAATTAGGTATGTCCGTCTTTGTTTCGGCATCATGCAAAAACTATACGACCAAATCGTATGAGGTTTTCATACTAGTGATCCTGAAAGTTTATTTTGGTCTTTGTGGAACACAATTTTAAATTACAGATTACAAATCTATGTATACATCTTTAACAATTTCCACTCCAATGTCGAGTGTAACTCGACATTGATTTTGTTCCACCAGCTCCACTGTCGAGTGACACTCGACATAGTGTAATACTTCTTTTTGCGGACAATTTAAAAAAAGGTGGGATTTTTTACTACAAGTTTTGATAAAGACATCTCACACTTACTACGAAACGTGGCAACAGCGCTGATTTCTACAACTGTCACCGATTGCACTGTTATAATAATTCGGCAAAATACAAAAAAACCCCTAAAAGTTAAAAAAACGCAATTTTAGCGTGGAGCTGGTGGAATAAAAAGAAAAAAAGGCTTGCAATGGAAAGGGTTAATCTAAGATAACAGCTTTTTTTATTGTAGCATGAGATTTGACCAAACCATCCTCAGTAAATGCAGAGATGACATGGTCCACGAATATGACCAACCGAAAAGAGAATGTTCTACTCTCAACGATACTAAGTGCTTTATCACGCTGCGTTTAAAAGATCCGAGGTTATAGGATGAAGGAAATACGTCACGGGAACTGCGATTTCAAATTACTATGACACGGTTCACGTAAGAGTTGGCAAACTAATTTGTACGTGCTTACCCATCGGAGTCTCTCCTCCGGCGTGTCAGCGGCGTCTCCGTAGTGATATCGTCCTCATCTAACAGAGGGTCGGCGGTAGTGGTGGGCGCGGCCGTGGTCACTGTTGTCGAGGTTGTGGTCACTTCGTTACGGTGTGGTGTGTACCGACAGCGGCGGCACTGTTCGTTTGCGAGCGACGGATGCCCCCTGTCATCTATTGAGCGATCGTCGCCCATCACTATTTCGGAATCTTTTGGAAAATTCTCACTGTAATTGATATTTGGAATTAAACAGTTGAATGCTACGTTCTAGTTACTGTGTATATGCTATATAATTTTACAAACAGGAATCAAAAGTGAAGTTAGTACAATCAAGTGATTACTTTTTATTCTACATTTTTTTTTTTTATATCTCTTTATCATAGTTTACTTAAATGATCGTATTAACACTCGTCTCTTTAAAAGTTAATATTATTATAATTTTTTTTAAAAGTAATTCGATGAAGGCATGTGCAATGGTTGCCAAAGATGTATGAAAAATGTAAGAGATCCTTTTATGGGATAAGTCCGCCATTGTATATTAAATCATTTATCAGTGCTTAATTTGAATTATGTACAATAAAGATTTTACAATACAATACAATACAATACAATTTATTTAAGAGATGGTAAGGGTGGGAGCGGAGGGGAAGGGGCTTTGTCCATCATTGTCTGATGCCCATCTAAAAGATAGGTGCGATATTTTCAGCTATGCGTCAAGGTCTAAAAGTACATACGCGCCCTTTTTAAGGGACCAAGCCTTTTGGAAAATAATCTTAAATAGTCCCCAATAGGGATTGCAATTTTTGATTTATGTACTGTTTGCCACTCACTTGGATATGATGTCTGTGAGGTAAGCACCGATAACAGGTTGCACCGCATGCGCCTCCTCGTACTGTATGATATTGATTTCCGGAGGCTGCTGGAGGTTTTTCCAGTCCATGTCCGGTAGAAGACGGACCATAAACACCCTGAGGCAGTAATATTTTTTTATACAACTTAAAATAGCAAAAAGCTACTTATTTATTTAAACTTTAATGCACATTATTATTTATCTATACTAATATTATAAAAAGGAAAATTTTGATTTTTGTAATGAATTGTCATAATAGATACTTGTAACAATTTGTTTTGTTTTTATGACGCTTACATGCCAGCCCATCTGATGGAAAGTCATTCATTCAACATCTAGAGAAGGATATTCTCTATCCCATAATAGTAAGTGTATATAAAATTTCATAGTGATTGGTTAAGTCGTTAAGGCGCTATAAGGCAACAAACAAACAAACAAACTCTTTTATATAATATTAGTATAGTCATTGCAATAGTATATATATATATAATAAAAAATCTCTGATTACCTATAGCAGCAAATAGGTCCATTTCTTTCTGTGATTCTCGGTAAAAACATTTTAAAATAATATTTATTATTATTCGTGTCGTGAATCTGAAAGCAAATAGAAAGAGAAATAGTTATAGTTTAGTAAGGTACTAACAAATTTTGGTATTTACTAATTGTAGTATTCAGAGGGAATTCCTAAATTATAATTCATTTAAGGGTAAGTACATAGAGTGAAATTAAACCTTTGTCCTAAAGAAAACGGTCGAAAGGTGAAAAATATTGATAATTACTGTTTTTCCCTAACTAAGGATGACTGGAAGAGAATGGATTATTAGAAATGGAGACCAGTAATCTCATTGCTAGTAACGTGATGGCTGGATATCATCATTTGTTTGGTTAGCAGTGAAGGGAAAGACGGCCGACTGGGCCGTACAAAGCGAGCGAATGGAGACTTTATCACGCTGCGTTAAAGTCCCTATTCGCTTGTACTTATCACAAAAATTATAAATCATATTTCACTTTCAATAGTAAATAGTAGCGAGTATGATATTAAATCAGTGCAAGCGAAAATCACTTCTATGATTTGTCATTTTTGATACCGCTGTGAATATAAACAATCATTTTATCAAATTATAATGAATTAAATGTAGCAATACTTTCCATGCCTAGTTGATAGTCAGTCAGGGCAAACGATTTTGTAAGTCATCATCATTAACGCTATCGGTATACAATGGCGGGGCACCAATGATAAATGACTGATGAAGATAAAAGCAGATCAGTTAGCCCATCCTGACGAATTCAACTAGAATTAGCTACGATGGTTTCCAGAGAGAATTACGTGGAGGTCGATCTGACAGGGTATATTGCTAGTAATGGGACTATTTGTCCCCCATTACTAACAATTCCTTACCCCCAAATTTTTTTTTCTTTTTTTTTTATGGATAAAAATGGTATGGTAACCCCACCTGCGTTAACGGGATACGCCGGCGGAGCACCAGTAAAGGGTGATAGATGAGAATGAAAACAGGCCAGTTAGTTAATCAGTTGTTACTTCCATAGGTCGGTAGACCTATGTACAGAAATGGAAAGTACGGTATAGAGTTGGCCACCCCTTCCTTTCCCGTGGGTGTTGTAAGAGGCGACTAAGGGAACTTAATAGTCAAGAGACGGGCAGCAGCGTCCCTCCTAAAACATCACTAAAGCCTAAGCCTAACTGCGTTTACCAAGCTGCCTGCCTGTCAAGTGTGAAAAATATTGTAAAAATCCCCTTTATGGAGGAGGCGTATGTTCAGTTAACGACCGTATGGTATGATACAAATGACTTTTGGACAAGTGTTACTACTTAATTAAGGGCTTGTAAGATTAGAAAACAATTCCACTTTATAAACACATACATAATACTTTGTCATTACTAGTAAAAAAAAAAATACTATAAAAATATTAAAATTTTGCATGCCATTGTTTTGGTTAAACACGCTTGTTCATAACATATTATTACTAGCATCTGTACACTGTGTTTTTCAGCGAATAAATAAATTATTATTATTATATTTTAAATTTACGATATTTTGGCTTAAAACCGGTTTTACAGGTGTACACGGGCTTAAGCCAAGTGCATAACTGTCTGCTATGTTGTTTGTATAAATGTAATTTGTTTGTGTAATCTGTTTGTAATATTATGTTAACCTGTAGATGTACCAGGAACTTCTAGTCCAATTTGCAGTAACTTCCCGATAATTCGGCACGTATTTAGGATTACGGCTTTCTGTGATTGATGGTAAGTATTGGGTTGGGCACAGTAGAAGGAAAAATAGAGGGCAAAAGAGGAAGAGGAAGACCGAGGAATAACTACATGGGACAGATAAAAGAAACACTAGGTGTCATTTCGTATGGGGAGGTCAAGGATATGGCCTTGGATAGAGCTGGCTGAAAGATGCATGAATTAGTTGCACCGACAAGAGGAAACTCTTGAAATGAAGAGAGATTGGGTGGTAACTTTAGCGTATTTATCGACTGATGCAGCTGTTTCGGTATCACACCTGTCGTGGAGAGTACAATTGGAACTATTGTCACTTTTTGTAAGTTCCACAGTCGGGTTATTCCGTATATGAGTTCGGTTTATTTAGATATTGTATTTAGTAGGTATATAGACTTGTACCTTGCGCCAGCGCGGGCGCGGCGGCACGTCGGGCGGCTCGGGCGGCGTGGCGCAGCGCCGCGTGTCGTGGTCGCCGCGCCGCCGCATGCGCGTCATGGCGCTCAGCCGCACAGTGTAGTTCGTGTTCGGCTGCAGCCCGTCCACCCTAAACACCAACCACGGTTTTTTCATATCATAAATTGTACGCACCCCAACGCCGCATGCGATTGCGTGCTTGTCGATTATTATCGGCACCGCCGGTTCGCACCTGTACTGCTCAGTTTGCTCCCACTTATCAGGCTATTTCTCTGCTCAATTCTCTGATTGCTCAGCAACCAGATATTGATATATTTAATGACAAATTTAATACCAGAGGGAGACTTTGTACAAAAGTCGATTGCTTGTGTACCTCTGTCCCATTCGTGTTTCAACCGTGAAGCAGTTGTGTTTGCATGGCTGTGTTTCGGTTTGAAGGATGAGATATGGCGTGAATTTATTGGGTACAGAGGAATAACACCTGAGTCCTCAGGAATGGCAACGCATGGGGGTATCATGGACGAAACAGTATACTCTGTTATGTCCATGGTACTGCTCATGTCTATAGGCGACGGTTACCACTTTCCATCAGGTGGGCCGTCAGCTTGTTTACCATTCTAAGTTGTATAAAAAATTGTATTTAAATGCTGTTTAAAATTTTTGGAATACTGTAAGTGTCGTGAGTAAATTATAAATAAATAAAATTATAATATTTATAGACATAAAAACAGAACATTTAAAACTTAAAACCAAATAAATAAATTGTAAATTCATCATTTCACTTGATATTCCGATAGTGAAGTGTTGAATTGGCTCTCAATATTTAGGGAAACGGTATTCTTTAGTAAAAAAAAAAAACCTCGGTTTTTTTTATGTGTGAAGATGAAACGGTAACCCCGCCTGCGCTATCGGTATAATTACGCTGACGGGGCACCAGTGAGAAATAATAAATAGGCGGAGAGAAATCAAGATCATAAGAGAGTAGGCCAATTGTGATGAATACAGCACTAAATAACCACAACGATTTTCAGGTAGAACCTAACTTTTATCTATTCCACAAACATAAAATCAAATTTTTAATGAAAAAGATACGTACCTAATACTTCGAGAATCGTTAGTGGTGAATTTAGTCAATGGTCCCCATATTTCTTCCTTCATGTTACCGTAACGATCTTTGAAATTTGCATTGCCCGTCAGTTCCATCTGAAAAAAAAAAAAAATAAAAATTCCAGTTAAAAATTGAAGATTGTGTTCCACAAAAAAAAAAAAAAAAAAACTGACATCAATTATGGTATATTGATTATAAACTAAACTTCTGTACCGATTTTGATAACATTTTTATTTGACCAATCTATAAGTATATTCTTTAATTGTATATCAGATAAAAAAGAAATTTATAGATGATGGAGTTATAAGGTGACAAACATAATTTTTTTTTTTTATACAACTTAGAATGGCAAACAAGCTGACGGTCCACCTGATGGAAAGTGGTATCCGTCGCCTATAGACATGAGCAGTACCATAACATAACAGAGTATACTATTTCACCCATGATACCCCCCATGCGTACCGTACGTAGTCGGGTGAAAATTATGGAATACTTATAGATATTTAAATTACTTTTTTATCCTTAATGCTTGAGTTTAACGATAAATTTGGTGGTAGGAACCCTCTTAAAATATGGTAAAATTGAATATCTTTTTTTTATTGATTATTCCTTAATAATATATTTTTTTTTGTGCTATGTATTGGGTTTCAGTTCCCAAGCATTTGCGTTTGCGCTTTTGGTGTACGCTCGCGTATGCCAAGGTTTGCAGCTGGTTGACTTATCATATGATGGATTTGGGCTTCATCATTGAGTGGGCACTGAGAGCATGACTTTTAAGATAACCTTTCTGATGCGGATTGATGGGCGATGAGTTATCATTGTGAGTTTTGCTATTTACAGGTTGAACAGTTGATAGAGTCGATAGAAAATTTTGGAGGTTTGATACCTTACGAAGAGGGTGAACCCTTACTAATATTATAAATGTGAAAGCGAGTTTGTTTGTATGTTACCTTATAACGCCTTATCCAATTATTATGAAATTTGATTTACACATACTATATAGGATCGAGAAAGATATAAGCTACTTTTTATCGCTGTCAGTAAACATATTCCGGTCACGCGGACAAAGTCGCGGGTAAAATTTAGTACCTAATAAATATTTTGCATGTGCTATTGTAATAAACGTAGTTAAATAAACTTCATTGTACTTCCAAACAATTATAATAGATTACTTAAAAACAAAAAAAAAAAAACAAGAAATAAACACAAAAAAAAAAATGTGGCCTTATTATTAAAAGTAATCCCTTTCATGTGACCTTTGTATAACAGTTGGTGTAGATAGAGTATATATTGTATAAAAATAGTACCCTTTCCAGTGCGTATTAAAAAAAAAACCTGTCAATGCTCTTTTTGTAATCTCTCTCTAATAAACTACGTGTCGCTTTTATATAAGTTTTATTTAAAATTATTAATAATAACATGTATATATACACCTGATAGGGTATATTGCCAGGAAAGGTGCTGCTTTGTTATTGGTGATTAGATTACCGTGGGCCAAGTGACCTGACTTCATCCTAACTTATCATCCTTTACTCATACTATCCTAAACCAATAACGAGAAGTAATTAAAAACAGACTAGCTTTTACCCCTGACTTTGTACGCGTAATTGTTATTCGCGTGACCATGTTGATTAACTGGGATAAGAAATCTAATAAATATACTTTTATTTAATAAGTATGTTAAATTTATGACGATTGGTCGAGACGTTGAAACGCAAAAAGGTAACAAATAAACAAACAAACTAACTTTCATATTTATAGTCGTTAAGACGCTAAGACTTTCATATTTATAATATTAGTAAAGTAGTATTTTTTTGATGGGTGAAAATGGTATGGTAACCCCGCCTGCGCTAACGCGATACGCTGGCGCAGCACCAGTGAAGGGTGATAGATGAGAATGAAAACAGGCCGGTTAGCCCATCATGATGAATTCATCAGGAATTAACCATGATAGTTTCCAGGGGGAACCGCGAGGAGGTCGACCTGGTTGGGTATATTGCTAGCAATGGGATTTTTAGTCTCCATTACTAACAATCCCTTTCCCCCCAGTAAGGTATTATTAGGTTATCATTCTTTTTAACTCACTGTGTATCCTTTAATTTCAGCGTTGGGTTTCAGCGGCGGCTTCCACGTGAGTATCACAACGCGACTAGTGGTGCAATTTATGTGCACATCGCTGGGTTTCCCCGGTATACCATCTAGTGTTGCCGCCTCCTTCTCTTTCGACCACTCCCCGCAGGTCTTGGTGTAGTCGGAACATGCACGCACCTGTTGATGCACATGTAAACAATTTTTTTAATTAAAAAACAAACAAATGTCATCGAGATATCAGGGAGCAGGAGGCCGAGCGAGCTAGGAATCTCTTTAAGACAGGATAGTCTAGATTTTTAACTAAGCAGTTAAAAATCAAATTTAACGAGACCTTTTGAATACTGATAATCATCATCATTGGAGTCATTCATTGTCCACCATCAATAAGACTAATACAAGAAAAGGCACTGAAGTCTCATTGCCATCCTGCAATATGTTTGAGGTTATGGCTACATTGCATTTCATTGTGTTTAAATGATGCAAGCGTAGGCCTTACAAGCATGAAAATTACCAGGCTGCTTATGTAAGATCACTTAATCTAAGAGCATTACTCCTAATATTGAAACACGAGACTGAGACGTCACAAAGTTGAATCAAGATGAATAATAAATACAACAAGTAAACATTCTCACCCGAAAAATGTAAGTGCTGTAGGGTTCCAAGCTATCAAACATGTATGGAAGGTTCCTATTGTCCCGAGAGTGGTATGCTTGACGAGGTGTAGTTTCACCTTTTTTCTTCGCCTCGAGTATGTAGTAGTGAATCAAATTTGCTATCACTGTGGGCGGTGCCATGAGTCCTAACGTAACCGAAGTAGCTGAAAACCCATTTATGGAAATTTCTGGAATAAACATGGGCTCTTTGTCCAGAGTTGTCACCGCATCAGTGAAATTATCATTTGCTTCCCCCATTCTAGTTTTTACATGAAGTTTAACTTTATATGTGGCAGATTTCGTAAGGTTCTTGATAATGTACGACGTGTTTCTGATATCAATCTTTACGGGGAGAAGCTCAAAGCCGTCAGTTCCGTTGGTGGCCTTTACCTCTTTTATATATAAATAATAAGCATCTACAGGCAAGTTATATGAATGTACAGTCCAATTAATATAGAGTTGTGTTGTGTTAATAGGTACAACGCTATTAATTTTGATCTCTGGTTCTGCATATACAATTATGTCAGTCTCGCCGGATATGTTTTTTAAGCTGACTTTATCAAATATCTCACAGATGTACGTGCCATTGGCTTCTTTGTCGATATGAAGTTTATATTCGCTCTTTATTTGCCTCAGGTTAATAGGCTCCGCTGTTCTGCCGCCAAAATCATAACCTTTTTCAGCTTTCTTCCACCATTGTACTTCGGTAGGCATGTCGTACACTGTGATAAAATAAATTGCTATTTAAAAAACCTGATTATTTCGTACTGTATACAGCAAACTAATTAATTACAGCATAATATCTATTGAAATAGCTAATCACTGTGATAGATATGGATGTAGTCTTGGCTATATACATGCACAAAGGGAATTAAAAGAAGGCACGGTGAGCTTGGCGTGCTAGACAGTGTTGAACAGGTCAGAAGACAGCAGTAGCGAAGACGAAAGTCCTTCCTAGTCAACTACAAATACATTGGACACATCCACTCATCTTCGATAGTACTATAGGTGCTTAGCAACGCACGTGCTAAACATTACAATCGGCAAGCGACCGTCTATACAAATATCACAGGAACAAGACGACAAGATGTTGCGAGAAGGATAGAACGAGTAACACCGCTAGTTTTATAATTTAATTTATTCCTATAAATTGCGGAGAATTCTGTAAATAAATCGAGTCTAAACTTATCGGCCTTTCTCTTCATATCTTTTTTTTTTTTTTATACGACTTAGAATGGCAAACAAGCTGACGGCCCACCTGATGGAAAGTGGTAACCGTCGCCTATAGACATGAGCAGTACCATGGACATAACAGAGTATACTGTTTCGCCCATGATACCCCCCCATGCGTTGCCATTCCTGAGGACTCAGGTGTTATTCCTCTGTACCCAGTAAATACAAGCAGTACGAAACCAACAGTACCATTATATTAGCTACCGCTATTTCCATCCCCATCCCCGCCCGCACTGACGTCCTTACCGCGTCTGCGAGCTGCAGCCTGCAGTGCGAGACGAGACGCTGTAATACAAAGCGCCGTACGCCCCCCCACCCCCCCAAGAAGACTTTCGGATGAAGTCGAAATAGTTGTCGGAAACGACAAACATAGTGAGTTCATAAAATTCCGGTTGTGCATGTATATTAATATTGTTAGAAAATGAACATAAGTTTTAAAAACAATATAGTGCTGGCTATTTCGTTATTTTGTTACAATTTCATACCAAGAGTTCATACTAATATCTAGCAATACATTTTAGTCAATTTTTATAAACATTTTCATTATTTAAAAAAAATAGCTTTCTATTTTTAAAAATAATAATAACGGACTTAACACCGGACTGTGTTCTTTACTAGCTAACCATTGGGCAAATCGAGAAATAAGTAGACTTTGCAGTCACTTTAAGTTTTTTTCATGCATCTCTGAATGTCAAACAAGCTGACGGCCCACCTGATGGAAAATAGTAACCATCGCCTATAGATATAAACAGTACTATAGACTTAACAGAGTATACTATAGTTGAGCAGTAGTAATTTAAAGCTATATTACCTTCAAATATACAAAAAAGGTCTACACTAGCACTTTTTTCGGTAGCTTTAGTGGTATTCTGTACTAGAGGTCCCTTGGTGTTATTGACCAGTTTACCAGGGAAGCGCATATCAAGTGTCATAACTTTAGTAGTTTCTTCATCGTTATCTAATTTGGCAATACACGTATAATTCCCCTCGTCTTCTTTCGTGGCATTCGTTATTGTTAAATTAGAGATTGTTAATTTGACTGGCGTGTCATATACATCTTTTCCCGATACTGTTATCACCTTCTCTTTTATTCTGTGGAGAAAATATTACAATGTTATTTTATTTTGTACAGAGTCGATTGTACCAGACTTTTCAACGAGTTGAATGTGTTTTAAGTTTTTGCTTTTTTTTACTGTTAAGCGCGATTGATCACAATTCTACCCAATCGAAGGTGGGATGATATAGTCTAAAATGGAGCTTGCGGACTCACGAATAGTCTATTTACATTTGCCTTAAATTTGTCTAGATTAAGATGTTCATGAAAGCAAATAGTTTTTCAGAATGGATCGAACGGAATCGATTTAAATCGAAAGGTTCAAAATTTATTTTTAATTTCGATTACGTTTTTGCAATTCTTTTAATGGATGGAAGAGTTGTCTTGCTTAGCTGACAGCGCACTAATAAGGAACGATAGGTGAGGATGAAAGTGAGTCAGTTAACACTTCGCAACGATTTCATCAAAAATTAACCACATTTTCCACCCCATTTTTTTTTTCTGACAGACTAACTGCTAGCAATGGGACCGCTAGTGTCCTTTACTAACATCCAGGCAACACCTAGTGTAAAATAAAATACTTTAATAAAATAAATTATTATATAAAAATAAATTATATTTAAAAAACAAATTATATTTAAAAAATAAATTATGAGTAATATTAAATAAGTACTTTTTATATCAATCCCTGACGTAACAAACATTCATTATCATTTCATATTAATACGACTTTTACCTCGTTCTGTGGTTATAATTCTATTATTAGAGGATAATATGACGTGATATGTGAGTACTGACCGTTCGTCTTCTTCTATAACCTTTTCTTTAAATATCCACGTTATATTCGCCGTTTCTGCTTTCACAGAGCACGTCAAGTTAGCTTGCCCGCCAATCTCGCCTTTTGGTGCTACATCTAATTCGGATGCGTCCAGACCTGAAATTTATAATATAGTTACTTAATACAAATGTAAATAGAGAATCAATTGACTTGATAAGGTAATCTGATGACAAATGATGATACATTTTATAGTATTTCTGTGTTAATTATCATCGTTTCAGCAGTTAACTTTCCACTGCTGGACATAAATTTTCTCCATAAGGGATTTTACGAGTAGTTACTATGCTAGGCAGGCAGGTCGGTAACCACAATTAGGTTTTTAGAGATGTTTTAAGATGACGCTGTTGCTTGTTCCTCTATCATTAAATTTCTTTACGACAATCACAGGTATGGAAGGGGCGGTCTTTTACATGCCGGGACCACACGGACAACATGTATTAATATTGATTGTAACTGTGATTGATTGTAGCTTGATAGCTTTTTATTTTATTTTTCATTATATGTACGAAGTTTGTGATAATCATTTTATCTATTCATAGTTCTTTTGTTGTAAGCTTAACTTATATTTGAAAAAAGCAACAGCTTTTTTGCCCGTTCTTCTCAGCTAAAATTTCATTTCGAACTGGGCGGTAGTTTTTAAAAAAAATTACTATTCAAAATTATTAAGTTTATTAGAATAAAATTTATTTATTATTATTATTATAGGCTATATCAGCTATTTTTAAAGTGGGTTCCGCAGTATCTAGGGGTTCCGTAGTGAAGGCACCAGAGATTCGTGAAATTATTTATACAGTATGAAACGTTAATGTTTATCCATAAAAAACAGCCATATTCAACCACGTTGACAAAACGTGAAATTATGTATACAGTGAAACAATTTCGTTATTCAATTCAGTTTTTGTTCTTACTTAAATTATAGTATCTTTGAATAGTAGTTCTATAAATATAAAAGTAATTTGGTGGGTGTTCCATTATCTTACAAGTTTAGGAACCTTGGACTATATAATTAATAATTATTGCCCCTAAGTACAGAGAACCGAAATCTAATTTTAATTATGGTAAATTAACATGAGCAGCTTTATTGTAAATTTTTTTTAAAGTAACACATTAATCATGGCAATATTAATATGAAACCATAGATAATGTAAATTACTACCCAAGAGACAAAGAACAGTGAAGATTAATATAATACATTCACACATGAATTATCAATGCTTACTTATATCACATATGTGAAATAATTAAAAGTGAGTTTCTTTGTTTGTTGTCCGACCAATCGTGATACAATTTGGTATACACATACTGTCGTATTCATAAAAATTTTGTCACTTTTCAAATTGGGAAGTTGGTACAAAAAAAAAAGAGGCAAAACAGTGCAATAGTTAAAATAAGCTTATGAGACGTTTGACATTCTTACGAATAAGTCAATTATATATATATATATATATATATATATATATATATATATATATATATATATATATATATATATATATATATATATATATATATATATATATATATATATAAAAATATGTACGTATTTTAAAAAGGGATGACTATCAGTTGTCTAATATCCATGGAACATTATCTAATAGTCCTAATAAAACACAGCTGTATAAGCTTTTTCTTACTGAAACTATATGTGTTACATGTTTTTTTTTCGAGCTATACTTGCTATTGGACGCACATGGCCTTTACAGCTTCATCGGGCGCGTGCAGGAACGAGCGCAGATGGTACTCCAAGCCCGCGAGAGGGGAGCGACGAAGTGTCGACTCGTACTGATGGACTGTGGCGTACGCCTAAGGGACTATTCACACTTATTCAGCTCTGTTCAGCTTTATCCCATAGAAAACAATGATTTTGTATGGAGACGTGTACGCATCCATTCAGCTTTCCACGTCTATTCTGCTTTCGCGGCAACTCAGTGTAAAATGAGAATAAATATGTATTTATTATGCGAATGCTGTAGAGAGCGTTCAGCGCTGTTCCGCCTCTAGGGACTATTCACACTTATTCAGCTCCATTCGCGTTTCGCTGAACGATTTTGGTCACACTTATACAACTCTGCTTCTATCAGCCGCGTACGGCGTCGTAAGAATGAGAACAGCCGTCAAAGCGTGCTATCTCCGCTGAAACGCTTGTCTACTGCTTAGGCCGTCACACTTTGACCCGGAAGACTCTGACCAGGGAGGTGAGGGCGAATTTTTTTTTAATGATTGATAAAGGAATCGTAACACCGACTGTGCTATCGATATACACTGGCAAGACACCAGTGAGGGATGATTAGTGAAGATGAAAAGGCAGGTCAGTTAGCTCATTGTGACAAATTGAAGGATAAATTATTCACTGTAGTTTCCAGGGGAATCGCGACCTGATAAGGTATATTGATAGCAATGGGGACTAACCTCCCCATTACTAACAATCCCTTCCCCCCAGGTACCTCATTATGAATGAACTGTGTGATGGTGCACATACACACAAGATATGTGCATATTTTGTTTTAAATAGAACTTGGGAGATATTTTGTTTTTTGGTACCATTTTTTTATGAAAATGGATTTTTTTTTTTATTTTATTTGTGTTTTTATTGATATACTTATATTGTATTACTCTTTAAAAATTTATATCTGAAACAAAGCATTGTGTAGCTTTGTGTGTCATGTTATAACATGATGATGATGATTGATCAAGGAAAATTACATTGTAATTTATTCACAATATGCAATGTTATTACATATAGACATTTAGCAAAATTAGTAACTAAAATTAGCACAAATATTACTTACTTTTATTTTTGTTATAACACAAATTTGTTAAGAAATTTCATAGACACATTTAATTGCAAATATTTGTAAATTACAAAACAGAGTCATAATTACCATATATATCACCATTTACTTGCGACTTTGTTGAAAAAGAAGGCTATAACTATTTCTAGGGTAATCCAGTCAGTGGTTTAGATGTACAAGTGTAATAAACAAACAAACTTACTTTTGTATTTACAATATTAGACAAGGATGGATATTAATTCTGTTTTTAATATTAATATATAGGTACTTATAATTATGTCTGTTAATATTTTTAAACTATTATTTCAAACTTTCCAAATCACACATTATTACCATACCTACTTGTACAATAATTAGTCTGTTTCTATAAGGTTGTTTAGAAAAGATTCCTCTCAGCAATAAGATTGCCTTACTGTGCTTATACATACATGTAACATTCTCACTAACAATATTGTGGCAGAACCAATTCTGATTCTGATAAATAATTTTCCAAACCAGTTTATAAATGACAGAGTTGTGAGGTAACAAATAATAATAAATACAAATAACTGAATTGAAAACCTCCTTCTATAATTAACCTTCTAACAAAGGGGGGAAAGGGATTGTTAGTAATGGAATCTAATAGTTCCATTGCTAGCAATGTACCCTCATCAGGTCGACGTCCATGCAGTTCCCCCTGGAAATCATCGTGGTTAATTCTTACACAATTCTTCATGATGGGCTAACCGACCTGCTTTCATCCTCACCTATCACTTCTTACTGGTGCCCTGCCAGCGTATACCGATAGCGCAGGCGGGATTACTGTTCCATTTTCAGCCATTAAAAAAAAAATCTTCTGACAAATGGTGAGAGAACTCTTATTGCTAGCAATATATTCTTACATGTTGGTCTTTATGCAGTCTCTTCTATAAACCATTAAACTTGATTCCTGAATTCGTTATGATAGGTCAGTTGCCCTAACTCTCATTTATCACTCACTGGCAACCTAGTAGGATATGGCTGTTTTTTATAGATAAATAAACATTAAACGGAAATTCTGCCTACAGTATTTTATGCTGGTAAGGCACCAATGGGGGAAGATAAATGAGGATAAAAGCAGAGTCAATCATAGTAAATTCATCAAGAAATAATTACAATTCCAGGGGTACAGCATGGAGGTGGATCTAACAGGGTATAATGCTAACGATGGGGTCATTAGTCCCTATTATTAACAATCCTTTTTCCTATGGAAGAAACTGTTAAAAGTGTTGACTGAACTGAAAATGTTGAATGAGATAAGTATTTTATCAACAGTCCAGACTTTCAATCTATTCAAAGAACATTCTTAACCATAAGGTACAGGATTGCTTTTGTTACTCTCTTCTTCTGATCTCTTTGAATGTAATCCTGAGCTTACCATTCTTTTATAATCTGTTAAAATTCTTTTATAATCCATTAAAAAAAATGAGGCTGGAATAGTCACTTAGTCATGCAGAAAGCTCACTAAAAATAGGAATAAAACATTTTCTTCTGGGAAACCTGATCATTGTTTATATATACTCTTTTGTATATTAAACATTCATTATTTTGAAGAAATGCCCTACTTAGGAATGACACATATAAATATTTTTAAACTCTTATTTTACTAAATTTTATACATAATTTTCTGAATCATTGCTTCAGTGTTCTACACATTTTTTTAGATAGGAAATATGGTCAATGGGTTCCTTTAGTTTAGGTTAGATTATTGTAAGTTATTTTACAAGAACAACATTGAATAGAATGGAATAGAAAATAATTCAACAGCAAAGAACGACCTGTTGTAACTATTTAATTTTTAGAACATTAAAATTAGGTTTATTAGAAAAAAATATAGAGGTAGTGTATTTTTGTATCTAGCTGTATATTTTAAATTAAAAGAATCATGAAATTCTTAATTGTAGATATAATATTAGTATGTTTTCTTTGATAAACAAATAGTTTAGTATTTGCTTATAATAAGACGAATTTAAATAGTAAATTAGTTATATTTTTAGTCTCTTAAACAAACTATATAATTAATGTAATCGTCTTGTATCAGTCCCATTATTGCAGGAAACAAGAAGTAAAAAATGCTCTCAAGTACATACGTTCAGTAAGTTAGTTGTAACTTAAATAATTACTACAAAGTACATATCAGTTATGATAGTTCTAAAAATAATATAAAAGCAGGCATTACTCACCTACAATTGAATAACACAACGCAATACACACAAAATATAGAACAGGAATCGCTAGACACTTCCCGTCGGTATGGCCCATTGTCATGGCGGAAGCTGCTACTTTTTACATAAAGTTCGTAAGATATTGTGATAGTAGACTCATTTCACTATCATTAAATCATTTTCTTTTCACTTAAACAACAGTTGCACTGATTATTTCTATAATTATCACTAAATTACAAAGCGGGTGACACCCGAAGCCGAACAAACAATCCGCTACATAAGGTTACCAGATTCAGGAAAGAAATTACTATGGATCAAGGTTGCCAAATTAATTGATTGATTATTACTATATCCCTTTCATTTTATTTTTAATGGGTGATAATGGGATGGTAAGCCCCATCTGCGCTATCAGTACATACCAGCGAGGCACCAGTGACATATTATAGAAATAATTTTTCATAGATTCATTTAGATGATAGTCTTTCCATCTGGAGATTTAATCGTCCTTATAGGGGTGATCTTCCACAAAACATACATAATCTCTTGACTACGGAACAACAAAATACCTTAATACGATACAGCGTGCTTTTAAAAAATAGCACACAGATCAGAACCAAACTGAAGAAGACGGCCGCGACCGGAAAATAAATGTCTTTATAAAAAGGCGGGAGAATATAATTTAATAAAAAACAAGAAAAATATTTTAAATAATAACGAATTACGAACATATTTTTTTAAGAACACGCAGATATTCCGTTTTATTAATAACCAGTTATAATTTGCAATTTTATTAGTATCCCGTAATATTTGCAGGACGCATCCAGTGTATATCTCTATCAAAATACTTGATCAATAGGTATTCCAAAATTATAATAGATATCTGAAGCATATCAATTTAATATCCAGTTAGGTTGATCTCCACGCTGTTGTTCCTGGAAACCATCCTAGTTAATATTTGTTAAATTCATTACGATAAGCGAACTGGCTTGGTTTTGTTGTAATAACAATATAATATTAAAACATAGAATAGATGTAAATCGTTTAATGTTAATGTAATCGTGACATAAGTTATTAATGACAGATCGCTTAGATGATAAAAAGACTATGATAGTAGGAGGTGTTATACCACATTACTCCCCCCAATGGAAATACAGTTTTTAGAAACCGTAACGTGCTGGTATTTTCCGCTGGCGTAGTGAGCGACGTAGTAACTGTGGCCGCGGATCAGTAGGGGTAATTTCATCGTTTCTCGATGCTGAGGTGGCAACAAAAATACCATCATGTGGTGTTGAACCTTCAGGGTGTTGCCTGCTGGTAGAGGGTACTGGTGATGATTGTCTTCCACAATCACCACTATGTTGTAGTCGAGCTTCTCTATCTGTGATTCGTTGATAGTGAGTATATGCTGGAATGCCATCTTGACTGCTAGATAGTCTTGGGCGTAAATGATCGGAATGTTTGCGTTGTTGGACTCCGTTCGAAAACTGTACCTCATAGGAGTATGGTCCGTTGCATTTTATTATTATACCTGCATCAGATCCCTTCCCTGTGGGTTTATTTACCCAAACTTTATCTCCGTGTTTGTATGTTGGCGGAACGACTACCTTCTGTGTTGGTCTTATTTCTTTATACAGCCTCATCCGTTCTAAGTCATCTTGTATGTTTGGTTTTAATAAATCGAAGGTAGTACGCATTGGCCTTCCAAACATTGCTTCAAAAGGAGTTCGGTTTGTTGATCGACGGGTTGTGTTCCTATAAGCTTGAAGGATCCTGCTAAGTCGTTCATGCAAATCGATACTCTTGTCCGAAGCTAACAAACGTTCTTTAAATGTACGAACAGCACGTTCTGCTAATCCATTTGTTCTAGGGTGGTATGGGGTCGTTCTAATGTGTGTTATACCAATATTTTGACAGTGAGTTTTAAACTCGTCAGATATAAATTGAGGACCATTATCGGTAACGATATATTTGGGCACGCCAAATGTTGCGAATATAGTATCTAGATGAGATATTGTTGATCTCGATGTTGTTGATTTCATTGGTATAATCTCTAGCCATTTTGTATAGGCGTCTATTACTATGAGCCACATATATCCAAAAAATGGGCCCGCAAAATCTATATGTAACCTATACCACGGTTCTGGTGGTACTCCCCAAGGATACACTGGCGCAGCATTAGTATTACTCCTTGAAGCTTGACAGAGTGTGCACCGTTTTAAGAAATTCTGGATGTCTTTGTCTATGTTTGGCCAATAAACATGCAGTCTCGCTAGTGACTGCATAGCATTGACGCCGTTATGTCCGTCGTGTAACATTTCAAGCATAGCAGGCTGTAACTTCTTGGGTATACATAATCTTCCATTCCACAAAATTATTCCATCTTCAAATGACATTTGTTCTCTTTTTTCGTAATATGTATGCATATCGTTTGATAGTTCTTTCTTTTCTGGCCAGTGGTTCGTTAGATATTGTTTAATTTTGTTAAGGTTTGTATCGCTACGTGTTTCTTTTCTGAGCTCATGTTTTGTTACAGGTATGTTACTTAGTCTAAGGTGTAGGAGATGTGAAAATTTCGGCAATCCTATTCGTTCTTCTATTGTTGTATCACAATTAGGTAGTGGCAGTCTTGATAATACATCAGCTGGGCTATTTTCCTTGGCTGAATGGTAGTTAATAGTATATTCGTAACTATTCAGAATCATGGCCCATCTAAGCAGGCGATTGCTTGCAATTTTAGGTGTCTCTCTATCTTGGCTAAAAATACGTTCGAGAGGTTTGTGATCCGTTAAAAAAGTAAATTTCCGACCATAGAGATATTGGTGGAACTTTGTTACTGAGTAGACAATACCTAATGCTTCTTTATCGATTGTTGAGTATCTACGTTCCGTTTCAGATAATGTTCTGGAAGCAAAAGCGACGGGTCGCATTGTATTGTCTATTTTATGAAAAAGGACTGCACCAACTCCCTTATCGGAAGCGTCACTGCTGACGTAGATGGGTTTACTCTCATCATAGTGAGCAAGGGTTTCATTCGATGTCAGAGTGTTTTTCAGATCGTTTGTTATTTGCGTGTCCTCGATGGTCCACTCCCACTTTTGATTCTTTTTTAAGTGGCGATACAAGGGAGCGCATCTAACATGTAAATTATCAATAAATCTACCATAATACGTAATAGAACCCAAAAAGGATCGTAATTCAGCTACGTTGGTTGGAGTAGGCATCTTCTTGATGGCTTCAACTCGTTCTGATGTTGGATGTAACCCATTTTTGTCAATTTTATGACCGAGAAAAGTCACACTTTCCTGTAACCAAGAACATTTGGAAATTTGACTTTTGATACCTGCTTCTTGTAGCCTTTGTAATACTGTTCTGACTCGTTTTATGTGTTCTTGACGAGTACCAGCTGTAATTAATATGTCATCGAGGTAGCATACAACTCCATCCAACCCACTTAGGATTTGGTGCATGATTCTTTGGAAAACTGCTGGTGCAAAAGATATACCAAAGGGTAATCGTTTATACTGGAAGTAACCTTTGTGTGTTGAGATGGTTAAGTACCTTCTAGACTCTGGATGTACCAATAGTTGGAGATAGGCATCTTTAAGGTCTATTTTAGTGAATAATTGTCCTCCTGCTAGTTTTGAGGTAATTTCTTCAAATCTCGGTAGTGGGTAATCATCTACTTGTACGTATTGATTGATTGTTACCTTGAAATCAGCACAGATGCGTACGTTTCCATTTGATTTTATCGCAATAACTATGGGTGATGCCCACTCAATCGGCGTTGCCATGGTGTCTATTTGTTCTAAGACCCCCTCACGTACTAAACGCTTCAGCTCCTCATTGACTTGTTCTTGTAATGCGAGAGGAACTGGTCGCGGCCGGAATGCCTTCGGTCGTATATTACTGGGGATATGGATTTTCGCGCTATGACAGTTAATTGTTCCCAACTTTCCGTCACACAATGTTTCAAAATCTTTTAGAATGAGGTCAATCTCATAGCTATCTTTGGTGTTCATATCGGACTTCGTTTTTGTTGTGGGTTCCTTAATGTTGCACAGACGGGCACCAGGTGGCATAGGCAAGTTGAATTGTAGACACCAATCTAAGCCAAATAATGGCAGGTCATTATGTTGTGTCACATAAGCCGACAATACTTTCACTGTGTTAAAAGCCTTCACGGAAATGTCACAAACCCCTAACGTTTCAATCTTAACGTCAGTATAGGCAACAAGATTCTTACATGTTTTTAATGATGGCCGTCCAATTGTTTCCCAAAGTCTTTTACCAATGACGGAGCGTACAGCTCCAGGATCATATAACATTTCAACTAACTTATTGTTGAGTTCTGTTGATATCATAATTTTGCTAACCGAATTTGGGAACTTAATTGTACAGGTATGTATGCTCTCATCCCCTGAATTTTCATTCTCACTATCATTGAGATTTGATTGTTTTTTGAAAGCAATATGCCTTGTATTATATTTATTGATTTTAAGACGGCCACTACTTATGCAAACGTTTGAGAAGTGGTTCAATTTGTTGCAAGCATTGCATCTCTTCCCTTTTGCAGGACATTCGTTTATGTTTTGGTGAAAATTTCCCCCACAGAATATACATTTTTTTGATGAATTTGGCGTTTCTTTTACAGATCTCTTGCTGGTTCGAGTATTGATTTTGTTTACGGCTTGTAATTCGGCAGTTGTTTCAATGGTAGTGGTGTTTGTTATACGTTGGCTCTGGATTTCTGCTTGTTCTAGTTTGTTCAATGTAGCTATAACATCAGCGAGTTTGGAATCGTTTGTTGGGTGTTCTTTTATAAGTTCTTGTTGCCATACAATATTATTAATACCAATTACTAATTGATCTCTAATACGTTCTTCTAGTGTGTTACCAAATTCACAGTACCCGGCGAGTGAACGAAGTTGTAATATGAATTGTGAAATCGTTTCGTTTTCATTTCTATATCTTGTTGCAAAAGATACTCGTTCGGAAAGGACATACCGTTTTTTGCCGTAATATTCATGAAGTACTTTGACAAGTTCATCGTAGGTTTTTGACGTTACTGCAGATGGGCGAAAATAATCCACAAGTATCTTGAATGCTGTTGAACCAACTCGGGAGAGAAGTAATTGTTTCCTCTTGTTATTGCAATCTGGGGATCTTCCGTCGAGGCCATGGAGTTGCAGTTCTATTTCAAATCTTTGTATATAGTATTCCCAATCTTCTGTGTTATTGTCGAATGTATTAAAATTAAAACGTTCTAACGACATACCTCGTCGCCAGATTAATGTTGTAATAACAATATAATATTAAAACATAGAATAGATGTAAATCGTTTAATGTTAATGTAATCGTGACATAAGTTATTAATGACAGATCGCTTAGATGATAAAAAGACTATGATAGTAGGAGGTGTTATACCACAGGTTTCATCCTCATTTATCATCCCTCACTAAGGCTTAGTCAGTGTACACCTATAGCATAGGCGGAATGTACTATTCTATTTGCACCTATTGAAAGAATAAAGATATTACATATTAAATCGATTACGATGAAGCTTGTATGGAAATTTGTAATAAAAATTATTTTGAGACTAGCTTCTACCCGTAACATCGATCACATAATTGGAATGTTTACTGATCGGGATAAGGAGCCTATATTTTTCTCTATCTTATATAAGCGATTAAGAATCTGTTTTAGATTTTAATGTAAGGAAATAAGGATATAGAATTTGTTCCTTGGACAAGGTTGTCCAGTTTTATAAATACTATTTTGTTGCATTGTATCATTTGCGTTGTATTTGTAGCCACATAATTTTTTTACGAGACTTACCGGCTTATTACCGGATGGCTCCGACCGGCCCATTACCATACTGTGAACTTGTCTATGGTACATGGTAGATTTAGATAGTAGATAATAGTAGATTACTGTTTTTGACACTCCTCTACTTGTTTATTGACAAATGAATGACAGATGGCGGGGTCTAGCGCAATGGTTGCTTGATTAAAACGATTTACACGAAATAAATGACCTGATAACGAGTTTATTTCCATTTTCTTTTGTGTACTAACATGAAAATGTGGTTTATTAATACTGTTTAATCATTTTGCACGCGTGTTTTACGTGTGCGTTGTGTATTAAAATGTATATTCAGTACACGTTAGGAGCCATTTTTATTATATTTATTTTGTGCGTTCATTGTGATAATGCTGGTAATAACAACGAAATTAAGACAATTTATGGTAAGTTTGTTATATGTGTTTGTTTATTTGATGTATATATTTCTTGTGTATAAATTTGCTTAAAAGTTAAGACAACTATTTGATAGCAGAACGATCTGTCAAGTAATCTATGCGGCTCTTCAAATGTGGAGATCGCATGTACCTATCTAGATTAATTTTAAATAATTATATGCATTTATATTTTTTGTTAGGACAGCCACAAATAACAAATGGAAATCTTATTATCATTATCACTGAGACTACATTCACTTGGATCTCTTTCATTGTATGCTATTAACTGAGAATAAGATAATAAATATATCCTGATCAGCATTTACAGTGTTTATATGGTTGTTATTATGTGTATATTATGATTGTAAAAAATACAAAAATGTTTCTTTGTTATTGTATATTTATAGAACCTTCTTACAAAATATTGACTAGCTATTGATTATTTTTTAATGAATTTAATTTGTCTATTATATTGAGATTTGTTCTTGCATGGATTCTATAATTTAAACAACCTATTCATATTTCATTATTAGATATGGGTTTTTCAAGCAGTGGATATAGATTTAGGATATATTTCTATGACTCCAGATATAACAATTATAAAATTGCTAAGTCAATGTAACATTTTTGTCTAATGCCTATTATTATTAATAATACTTATAAAAGCATGATAAACTAGCTAACTACATTTATGAAAACAAATTTGTCTGTTAGACGAAAGTTAGAGCTTGATTGAATAAAAATTAAAATATAAGGAAATTAGGAGTTTTAATAAAAGATAAACACATCCAACCAATACATATCTCACTATCCTATTAATATTATAACAGAAAGTTTGTGAAGATAAGTTTCAATATTGGGTGAAACTTATATATTATATTATAATTTTTATTAAATCATGCTCTAATTTTAGTCTAACAGCTAAATTATTTTTCATAAATGTAAACTATTTTAAAAATATTAATAATTCTGTATCATACTATGAATATTTTATTACAACTAGTTAAATTGTTTTTATGGGAAATGCATTGATGTACTTAGAACTATTTGTCGAGAGAGAGAGAAGGGGCTTGAGCCCATTGAGGTAAGTATTCTCAGAAATGTCTTTGGGCATCATTGAATGTCACTTGCGTTTTGCTGTGACAGACAATTTTGCTCCCTCCTCCCTAAATCCCTAACTATGCCTATGGCTTATATGCTAATATACAATCAGGTAAACACAAATAATTTATCAAACATTATTTTTAATCCAGTATTCCATATACTGCTAGAATGAGACTGTTAGTAATAGGGATGTAACAGCTCCATTGTTAGCAATATACCCTTATCAAGTAGACCTTCATGTGGTTCTCCCTGGACTATCTATCTTTGGTAAATTTTTGTGAAATTTGTCACAATGGATTAACTAACCTGTTTTCATCCTCAATCTACTATCCCTGACTTGTGTCCAGCCAGCACATACTGATAGCGCAGGTGGTGCTACCATTCCTTTATCGCTTATTAAAAAAAAGTGTTGCATATTTTACATAAAAACTTATGTAAAATGTATACTATTTCTAAAATTTTTTAATATTTATTATATATTAATATTATTAAGGTTAGTGATTATGGACACCCCAGTACCACCGCATCTTACCATGAAAGATCAGCCAGTTAAGATTTGCTTGGCATAACTAGTCTATTTGAGAGTATATAATGTCTGTTGTTGCAAACTTCCCTATCATTCCAAAAGTTCCTCAAGAAAAGTTTTAAATTATAATTGTAAAACAAAGATATTCTAGTTAGAGTGTATTAAAAAATAAATAAATTTTGGCTTACATGTTGCAATCACTAATTATGTGTTACATTAATCTATTAACAAAAGAGCTTAATGCTAATGATGATAGGTCAGTAGGTTAATTATATTCTATTAACCTACAGCTTATGGTCTAATCAGTATTTGTTTACTTTTTAAATGAATTCTTCACTCATTTAAACAGATTTTACTGACACATTTCATTTTAATACTTTATTATTGTATTGTTTTCTACAGATCATTATTTATATATTACTAGCTTTTATCCACGACTTTATTCAGGATTGGGATATGTTCACTGAACAGAGTAAAAAATAGCCTACGTTCTTGTTTATCCCATATAAGTAGTATGTGTAATTATGTATACCAAATTTCATAGTGATTGGTTAATTGTTTTTCCATGTCATTAATTACTTGTAATTTTTGTTTCTGCTAAATACTCTACTGTAGTCTTTTACAGTGAACAGTAAAGAATATCTAGTACCTATTGTTATTTGTAGATAGATGCTTGAGTATTTATGTAAATTAAATATTATAAGATATAATAAATATTATAACTGATGTATATATGATACAACCCCAATCTAAGAGCTATATATATATCTTAGCTATTTATAACCAGTCGCATAGATCGTGACCAGGGCTTTTTATAGATATGACCTTTCTGGCCATATGATCATCTCTATGCATTGCAGCAAGTACCTTTATTTAATCTAGTACATTGAGTCTATCATAGGCGATAATTAAGATGACTCCTATGTATAATTCGGTGATCTTTTTTAACATGTTTGGAATGACTATTTTAATAACACAACTAAAGAAAAGATTACCTTGCCAATTATGAGCGAATTGGTTTTGATTGTTTTTTTTTTACATTCATTAGTGTTTACTCTCATGTTGGTTTCTTATTAATTTTGGAATAATTGAAGATTTGGTTTTTTTTTTAAAATGATGGATGAAAGATGTCTTCATATAACTGAAATGTGAATGTTTAGATAGATGTGTGGTGTGTACAAGAGTAGACAAGATCAAGAATGAGTATAAGAGAAAGTTTGAAAGTCACACAGAAGTTGAGAGGTAGTTATTTGTCATGGTATAGGCATATGATGTGCAAGGAAGAAGAGAATGAAGATGGAAATGTGGATGGTCATAAGTACAGAGGAAGATCCAGAAAGAGATGGATGGAGTGCGTGAAAGATGACATGGATAGGAAGGGAATGACTAGTGAGATGACTGCAAATAGAGATGAATGGTAGAATGAAACATCTGTCCCCAAATAGACATATGATAAGACAGGAAAAAAAAAGAAGAGGATGAGAAAAATGCTTGTTTATAAATTTCTATCATATATCTTCTAACAACCATCATAATCATCATCATAAGTCTTCTCTGGGTTTGCCAGATGGTATGGGCAGGTGTTCAGGGAGAATAAGAGCGGAATGTTGTTGTAAAATACAAGTTTAGCCCGACAATTTATTGTGCGAATATATGCGTGTGCGGTTGCCACTATGCTGTGTCTGTCTGCCGGCCGCGAGCCGCGAGTCCGCTCGCCGCTGCTCCGCGTCCCGCGCCCCGCGGCCTCCTCCGCAGACCATTACATGGCTTGACCAGCAGGTGAGGTGGGGCCTCGGGGCGTACCCTTTTTAATCCCGGCCTCATCTCCGGAGGCTACCGCCTCCGGGTCCCGTGTTTTTAAGCCGACATACACTAGGTGTTATTGTGTATGTTGGCGTGGCGTTATTCCATCATAATCTAATAATAGTGCAAGATATACGTAGATTTATCGAGCAAGAATGAATGAAGATGTCGGTAGGGGCCGCCCTAGACGGACGTATGTCGACCAAATAGGCGACGTGCTGAAGAAGGGCCAAATTAAAAGTACCCGTAACCGACGAGCGTGTATGACAAGATTGATGAATGTGGAAGAAGCGAAAGAGGTTTGTTTGAATCGAAGCATTTGGCGTTCCATTGTTTCTGCCTACCCTAATGGGAGACAGGCGTGACAGATATGTATGTATGTATGTATATACGTAGTTTAGGACTAGATGGCGCTGTGCAATATATTATTATTTTAATTGGCCTCGATTGATTGTTTGATCGATCGATACGAATTTCCTTTATAAAGATTTACGCTGGTACCCTTTGTCTCTTCAGGACGGTGTCAAGGACTCGGGGCCTCATTGTTTTTTAATCGTGTCCACATTTGACGCAGTTCAGTTTTGGACTTGCTACTTGAGGCTGTTACTACTGACCGGAATTTAAATCTGTTGCCTTTTAAAGCGGCCAACTACACAACATAAGCTTTAGTGGAACACCAGTCATAAATCTATGTAACAAAGTTAGAAACGGGCTGTTAAATTTCTCAATTTTTGATAATTTATGACCACCGTGTATATTTTATTACTTACGTCACAGCATTCAAAACGAAAATAAAATAGATTCATTTATTAACAACATTATATTGCTCTAAAAAAAAAAAAAACTATTCGCAAACACACATTTATTAACTTTACTTTTTTTACTACTTTAACATCCTGTAAATATAATTAATATAATAAATCCGAAAGTTTATAACGACGATTGGGATGTTTGTTACCCTTTCACGCAAAAAGTACTGAACGGATTTAGATGAAATTTGGTATACAGGTAAGTAATTTACTAACTTATCACATAGGATACTTTATATAGGTACCTTTTGATTTACGCAGTCAAAGCGGCCGGATACAGCTAGTGTATTATATGGGATAGAGAAGGGCGTAGGTTACTTTTTGTTGTAAACATTTTTTTGTTATTGTAAATGTAGGATAGATACGGATTTGAATTTAGAATAAACGTAAAATCCCGTGTCTACATATAGATTTTGCTTCGCAATAAGCTTTTTGCTCTGCATAAATAAACATAAAGACATACAAAGTAGTTGTATGTCCCATTTTTTCGCAAAAAGAATTATATAAATCGGTTCAGAATTTGCGACGTAATCGCGAATCGTGAGTAATAATCGCCATCATTCAGATAATTTGAGATATTCTGAATATGTTGAGAAACTTCTTTTGGAAGTTCTAAATAGGAATAGTATCTTAATTCTTCTATCAATAGGACAGATTTATTATTATTATCAATAGGAGATCGTAGTTTTATTCCGACTTTGTTTAGTACATATATATACTTTGTTTAATCCTATATTGAATCTGAAGGCTATAGCTTTACAGACATCTGATCCCAATCAATGATAAGACTAAGGGTAAGGCCTAATTAGTGGCAGCATCCTAGTATTTTAACAGACTTTACGTTTAGCTAGTGATTTTAAAATTTTAATTTTTATGAACAGTATTTAAAAAAAAGTAACAACGTTGCTTATTTGAACATTGGTGAAATTTTTTTTAAAAAGATTTCTTTTAAATACTTCGATTAGAAATTACTTACTAAATTATTATTTATTGGAGTAACAGGCTCGTTTGTTAGTGAGACATAAAGCTATATATGTTAGTATGACATTTTTTTTTATTTTTAACTATATTTCTACTATATACCACTCGATATATAGCAATTGTTTAGGTATGGCCAGTCCAGTCTGCTCGCATTCATGCCTAGAATACTGTTTTTTTTAATGAATGATAATGGAATGGAAACTCCGCTTGTGCTATCGGTATACACTGGCGGGGCACCAGTGAGAGATGATTGATGAGGCTGAAAAGGCAGGTCAGTCAAACCATCGTGACGAATTGAACGATATCCCCCCCCCCCCCCCTGCACTTTTGAAAGGGTTTAATTTTGCGGTAAGGGGACTCTGATATACATACTAACGTCTTCACATCATAGTGTATATTTTAATATATTCTTAGTTTCATATTACATATAATAGTCAAGCTGTATCTCACGACGTCGCTGACGTGAATCATTATTTAAAGTATTCTATTAGAACATAGAATAGTTTAAATAATTTAAGTTAGGATATAATCAATCGGTGTACCAAATATCATTCAAATACGTTTAGTAGTTTTTGCGTAAAAAAGCAATAAACAACCATCCATCCTCACAAACCAGTATTTTTAATAGTAACAGGAAGTAGTAGAATTAAGGTACTTGTGTTGTCTACCTCGGAGTGTGACTTTGTTACCGTAATGTAGTTTCGTCATGGCTATGGATTAGTCCCGTGTAAATTATACCTCAGGGGTTAAGGTTTTATGGTATTGTAGGCGGTCAATCACGTAACTCGGACTTTCTTTTTATATAATTGGTCCGTTGTCACGTCTTGTTGTATTGCGTCTAGAGCAATTTAACAGGGCATTATTAATATTTACCAGATCGGTTATGGTGATTTGGGACGCTACAGAGTGATTCTTATTGAGTTGTAACCTTTAAATGTAACCGACTTATTTTTTTTTTTATTATTTTCAGTTAACATCAGTTTCGCAGACTACGAGTATTTGTTAGCTTCACAACGAATTGTTGATATTTTTTTATGCAACTTAGAATGGCAAACAAGCTGACGGCCCACCTGATGGAAAGTGGTAACCGTTGCCAATAGATATGAGCAGTACCATGGACATAACAGAGTCTGTTTCGCCCATGATACCCTCCATGCGTTGCCATTCCTGAGGACTCAGGTGTTATTCCTCTGTACCCTGTAAATTCACTGCCATATCCCACCCTTCAAACCGAAACACAGCCATGTGTTTCTACCGTGAAGCAATTATTTATAATTGCTTCACCGTAGAAACACGAATGGTACAGAGGTGCCCAAGCAAACGATTTTTGTACAGTCTTCCTCTGATCTTATTTAGTTTTGTAATAAGATGGGAATTAATGCTCCTTTCTACTCAGGGTTTGCGGGAAGAGAACTCTTACTCGGTTAATCTCGTCTGTTGTACATCTTTATTTAATGTAAATTATATGAATGTAATTTTTTGTATACAATAAAGTATAAATAAAAATAAATAAGATTTAAAAGATAATTAACTTTATTTAATTAACGTATTTGACAAGATGAATCAGTAGGGAGCAATAGCAAATTTTGATAAAAAAAATCTTTAAAATTAAACTAGTTATTATTTAACAAGGTAAGTGTTTGTACTGTTCAGGAATTGAATCCGTGATGATTGAAAGATAAGGCGGTTAAACGGCCACCAAGATCGTAAATTTTTGGTAAAATGGTATCGCCGTCAAAAGTCGTCCGCACTTCATCAATAAAGCCATTGTATTGTCTGTCGGGCCTATGACCTCCCGGTGCATTACACAACCATCGTTTCACAATACCATTTATGGTTGTTGTCATAATTAGCAACGTTTACATTTTCTCTAAAGCCGACGGCGTACTCAATTCTATGGAGTAGGGCGTCTTAATTGAATCATTGTACAACTGTAGTAACACTACGCATATATCACGCCGTATAAGCCGTTAACTGTCCTCTGCTGAACCTAGGCCCCCATAAGGGGGAGGGGATTTGCCAGTTGTTGCCAAGTTTGGCAGGCGGGTTGGCAAGTTACACTTTGGTGATGTTTTAAAAGGGATGCTGCTACTCATCCCTCGACTATTAAACACTACAAATATTGTTTTGAAATTATATCATGGCTGATTACAACTGTGCACATTTTTATTGATTAAGATCCAAAAAAAAAAAAACCGACTTCAGTTGTAGCAAAATTAATTATATTAATTTAAAAACTATTGAATCAATTTTGATAAAATTCCTATGGGACTAATCTGTACGTATCCTTTCAGATAAAAAAAAATCCAAATCGGTTTACAACTGACGAATTTATGAGGTAACAAACATAATAAAAAATACAACCGAATTGGAGTCGGTTAAAAACGAGATATTTACCGTTTACACTGAATAATCACGGTAAATATTTCGTTTAAAAATAAATGAAAAAGTAATGTATATAATAATATAAAAATAACTAATGTATATAAATATATAAGTATTGTTGGTAATATAATCTAATTATTAGCAGCCTCATTGCTAGCAATACATACGTCATCATTTCAGCCATTAATTGTCCACTGCTGAACATAAGCTTATCCCATAAAGAGAGATTTGCCAGTTGTTGCCACTCTTGGCAACCGCAGTTAGGCTTTTAGAGATGTTTTAAGAGGGACGCTGCTGCCTATCCCTCGACCATTGAGTTTCCTTAGTCGCTTATTACGACACCCACGGCAAAAGAAGGGGTGGCCTCTTTTATACCGGGACCACACGGCCTATATAAATACTTACGTACAACGGTCCAAATAAGAGGCTTAGTGTGAAAAGAATGTCAGAAGAAATGTCCAATGTACAAAAAATTGCTAGCAAAACGCATATACCCTATCAGGTAGACTTCCACGCGGTTCCCCTGGAAAATATCGTAGTAAATTCTTTTTTTTTTTTAAGGAATTCACAATGGGCTGACTCTCTCATTCTCTTTCTCTCACTGGTGTCCCGCTAGCGTATTTCGATAGTGCAAGCGAAGTATTATTCTATTATCATCCATTAAAAAAGACTTTTCACTAGATGGAAAGCAGCAAACTTTCTTTTATAATTATTTATTTAAATGATATCTAAATGACTGATCTTCGTAGTAACTCAAATACCGGGTTTGTTCTACAGTACATATTTAATTGTTTAATTAAATTATCATTACTATCATCTGAGTCACAAATATTAAGAAATCTTACCGCCATACCTCACCGCTGATTGTCGCTGGAAATTTATGAGATAAAGTAGAGGCGTCCGTGTAAGCGTCTCATTATATTATCACTTTTTTGTTTTGCTTTCCCTTTCCTGTCTATTCCATATATTTCTGCCTATAATTTCACCTGAATTACACTCACAACCATAAAAATGTAACTGCAAATCAATCTTTTCTTATTAAAAGTCTGCTATTTTTATTAAATGGACTAATAAATGCTACTTTGTTGTATTATTTTACCAAAGGTTGATATGCAATTGTGTAACTCTGTCGTAGACAATCGACCTCTTTATGCTGGGACCAAACGGCTAGTATTTTCGTATGTGAACTAATATAATGATTATGTGTGAATAGCAAACGCATTTTTTTTTATCGATACCTTAATGGTAAAATATTCGCCTTATAAAATCGTAATATATATTTTTAAATCTTAAAATGTGTGTTTTTGTTGCAGTTCCGTCCGCACCGAAAAATCTAGTGACACGAGCGGTGAGTTGCAACGAGATCCTGTTGTCATGGGCCCCGCCGACTACGTACACTGAGGTCTTGCAGCCCGCACACCCGGTAGTGTCGGGTGATGACACGCAACAAACACCCAAACCCGAAACCCCGAAGCATGAACCCCAATCCGACGAACCCATCAGCGACGTAAACGAAGACGAAGATGCCATTGTCTCTGACAAATTCAAAGACACAGAGTACACATTGTATAAAGATGACAAACAGAAATACCCTGAGGAATTTACACCTGACAGTATCGACAGTTATAGAGATAGAAGAGATTTACGCTCCCATAGACATAGAAAGAGGCGGCAAGACGGAAATGTAACTGAGTCCAGAAACCAGAATCTAGAGACAGTAGATTATTTAGAGATACATGACTACGATTTGCCAATGGTTGTTAAAAAATCGTATACAGCAAATAAACAAGTAAAAGATACAACGCAGTATGCTTATGTATTATATTACGAACAGGGAATGCCCAGGTTCGATGTCAGGAATGTGACAGGGGTCCAAAGTTCAGAGGACGTTAAAAGGAAACATATATTTTCGAGCGACCTCGGCATGGAGGAATACACGAGCGCAATAAAAAATTTGACTCTGTTAAATACGTCTGGAAAGGTGACAAAGGTTGTTGGATACCGATTGAAGAACTTACGTAAGTTTTTATTGTAATAATAATAATTTAAACTTTATAAAAATAATTTGATGTAATCATCGTTTCTGCAAATTAAACTATCCAATTAGTTTTTTTTTGCAGCAAATGCAACAATTTTTTTGATATCTAATTTATCAATGTTATCAATAAGTAATGCACTAAATCTTATTTATTTATATCATTACGATTTACGGAGTAGGCAGTGTCAATGACCTCAGTTTGACTTTTTTTTTTGCTATTAGATATAGTTTAACCCTTTGAGTGCCGACGAGCGCCATCGCGCTCGTGCGCATTGCAACTAAAAGTGCCACGAGCGTCATAGCGCTCATGAAATCAGTCGCTGTTTAGCTTGATGTAAAAAAAAATATTAAAATTGGATAATTTTTGGAGGAGATACAGTTTTTTTAGCGACAATGGTAAATGACATCAACACGACAAAGATTTCTTTGGCATTTTTAAATAGATATGAGTAAAAATCAATGGCACTAAAAGGGTTAGTATAGCAAATGAACTGACGGCCCACCTGATGGCTTTCCATCATTGTCAGGGTAAACGTTGATTTGGATATGAACAGTATTGAACAGCACTACTCATATTACAGAAGATATGATGTCCATAGTTACCCTTATGTGTTTACCTTCCTGAGGACTAAACCCTTATCTATAGATATCAATGGACCATATATGTCACAGAATATACTGTGATGTAGATTGTATCTTTCATTCATTGTCAATCCTGAGAGCTAAGATAAGTATTAGTTTTTGCTCGTGGCTTCTGTCGCGTGTTGTTTTCGATTTCTTGGTCTGTTGTAAAAGTGCAATTGCACATGTTTAACTTATAAACTGACGAAATTTCATATTTTAACACTTTCAACCCCCATTTTACCCCCTTAGGGGTTGAATTTTCAAAATTCCTTTCTTGTTGTTGACCTATACTATATAATGAACCTATCTGCAAAATTTCAAGACCCTAGATTAAATGGTTTTGTCTGTGCGTTGATATATGGGTCAGCCAGTCAATCAGAATCATCTTTTATATGTATAGATAATCTATAAAACACTAATTAATTTTTCACTACCCGCAGAATCATTTGCGCCTTACAAGATATGGGTCAGGGCGTTCTTCAACACTGAAGGCGCCATATCGGCTGACCTGCCCACGCGGCTTAGCAATAAGTCGGAACCATTGTACGTGCTAACAGACGTGGTACCGCCGTCGCCGCCCAAGATACTGAACGTCACGTGTGACTTGCTCAGACGTATGTTTTTTTTTTTAATTATATATATTTTATTGTAAGATAACGTTTTAGTTTCAATAGTTTATTCTATTCTAATAATCTTTATTTAAATAGATTTGTTTACAAGCTCTTTTCAATCGACTACAAAAAGAAGTAGGTTTTCAATTCGGTTATATTTTTTTATGTTTGTTACATCACAACTTTATCAATTGTAAACTGATTTGGAGAATTCTTTTTTTTATTTAAAAGGTTGTACTTACAGATTGGTACCATAGAAATTTTATCAAAATTGGTTCAGTAATTTTTAAATCAATATAACTAATTTTGCTACAACTAAAGTCAATTTTTTTGGAATACAATCTTATTAACCTTTAAAAGCCTGATTTTTTAAATCAAATTAAAAAATATACAAGTGTACCCTTTACTGTGTTTACTAATGGGAAAAATAGTAAAAATAATTAAAACGATATTTTTATATATTTATTTTGAAAAAAAAAAAACATTTGGTAACATGTTAACAGCCAAATATTAAAAAAATCGATTGTAGGCGCCCGATGCGATTTATAACCCCGGTATCAAATTTGAAACTTCAGGTATTTAAGGGTTAAGGATATGCACAGATGTAAACAACCATGATATAATTTTAAAACAATCTGTGCAGTGTTTAATGGTCGAGGGATGAGTATCATATCAAAATCGGTTCAGCAGTTTAGTTTTTAGATCACAATGGAAATATTTTTTTTTTTGTGACACATCTTTATTAAAAGTCACCCTGTTTTTTATATTAATTTTTATTTCATTTAAAATATTGTTATCTGCTGATGGTTCGGAAAGAACTTTTTGAACAATCATTCAGAAATTTTAATATATATATATATATATATATATATATATACATTTTAAATGACAGGATATTTATCTGTGGTCACACGTTCCTATGAACGTTTTTATTCGATCATTAATTGACATTGTTTTCACGTTTACTATGTTCTAGAAAACCTATACCTTCAATGGCGGCAGCCGGCTGAGTATAACAATACCTTGGACCACTACGTGGTGACCTTGAGGAAGATACCCGAGCAGCAGCCCAGAACGAGACTGACACTGCCGACTAGCAAAAACGATATTGAAACAACAATAAGCATGGTAAGTTAGATTAAAAATAAATAAACACCACTGGATCTATTATTATTATTATCAATCATTAACACTTGAATACATGCCTCCCTATAAGGGGGGGGGGGTTGCCAGTAGTTGCCACACTTGGTGTGCGGGTTAGCAACTGCAATTAGGCTTTGGTGAGGAAGACGCTGCTGCCGATACCGTGACCATTAGGTTCCCTTAATTTTCCTTCATTAAGTTCCATTAAGTTCTCTTAGGCGCCTCTTACGATACCCATGGGGTAGCCCATCCCATTATTGGGATTACACGACACATATATATACAAACAGATGACATGTCTTTTAATTTCTTGCTTTCAGCAATAAGTACGTTTGGTTCCACTTACAGCAAACTGTATGTGCTATAATGTTTTTATTGTCCAAACTCTCTTTCTCTTCATCTCTCTCTCTCTCTCTCTCTTTTGTATTTTAATCATACCTTCTTCATTCCAGGATGTGGAGTCGTGGAATATGACCCGCTACGAATTAAAGGTGTACGCGGCGACGCAGTCGGTGACGCGGCCGAACACACTTATTAACGGGTCTGAATCACCGCCGGAGGTAAATTTTAGGAAATATTTTCTGCTGTAGTGAGTAAAATGTAAAGAAACGAGTAATTGAATAAGAAATATGACAGTCTACTCATGTCCAATAGTTGTACAAATATATATATATATATATTAACTTACTTATTTCATTAAAAGCGTTTTTGTGTGATTTCATTATGATTAATTGAAACACAACATAACTGTCTGTCGACAACTTGACGTGATAGGGATAATAGTGTTCTTATTATTTTTTTTTATGGGTGAAAATGGTATGGTAGCTCTGCCTGCGCTAACGGGATACGCTGGCGGAGCACCAGTGAAGGGTGATCGATGAGAATGAAAACAGGCCAGTTAGCCTATCATGATGAATTCATCAGGAATTAACAATGATAGTTTCCAGGGGGAACCGCGAGGAGGTAGACCTGGTTGGGTATATTGCTAGCAATGGGATTATCAGTCTCCATTACTAACAATCCCTTTTCCCCCAGTATTATTTATTTAACTCTCTATTGCACCAGAAATATAAAAATAAACACTGACACATAAACAATTCGAGTGAAATACAGTAGCATAAAGTACAGATTAAAATATATCAAAAGTACTTTTAACTGATTTAGCTGGTCAATGGTACTTTTGATTGGTTAAGAGTTTTGACTACAACAGATATAATTATTTCCAAAATAATATACAGTCTATATTGCTCTCTGATAATGTAACTTTCTATAGGTGAAATAATTTTTGAAATCGGTTTAGTAGTTTTCGAGTTTATCCATTACAAAACAAACAAACAAATGTTTCCTCTTTATAATATTAGTATAGATAACATTGTTTGACCTATCAAAAAGCTAAAACTGTAACATATATATCTGCAATATAATGACATAAATACAAATATGTGGTTGTATGTTTTTCCTTAATATATCTAATTATAATTAGATTTTGGTTTGTACGTTTATTTGTATGCCTATTTGTGTATAAATACTTGGAAATGGTAAATAAGCTGACGGCGTACTTGATGGGAAGTTGCAATCGTCGCTTTAAATATGAAAATCGTAATGGACAGCACAGAATATACTGTGATGCTGATCATAATCCTCATTTATTGATATTCCTGAGGACTATGATGTTCTATCTCCGTACTCTGTAATTTTATTGCCATAACCCATTTTTATGGCAATATATATGGCAAATATGCATATTTAGAGATACCCATGCAAATGTTTTTGTATGAAGAAGGGATTGTTTGTAATGGGTATGTGATCTCTTTGCTAGCAATATAACTTTGTCAGGTTGACCTCCACGCGGCTCTTTCTTGGTATGTTGTTAATTGTAGGTGAATTTGTCACGATGGACTGACTAGTTTTCATCATTACATTTTATACTTATAATAAATCTGTGAGAGAGGTCAATTTTGTACATGAAATATATTACCAAAATAACTATCAGGCGGTGATTAGTGATCGATACTGATGCCAAAAATGCAATCAGTAAAATTTTTGTCTGTCTGTCTGTATGTTCGTTATAGAAACAAAAACTACTTGATGGATTTTAACGAAACTTGGTACAATTATTCTTCACACTCCTGGGCAGGTTATAGTATACTTTTCATCACGCTACGATCAATAGGAGCAGAGCAGTGAATTTAAATGTGTCTGTTACTTTAAAACCACTGAACCATGAGGAAGGACATAGGCTACTTATTTTACGAAAAACGACGGAAACGCGGACGAAGTCGCTGGCAACAGCTAGTCATAAATAGTCTTTTGTACAAAGTCTTGTAAAAGATTCCAATAACTAATAGTCGTATCCCCCTGGTAGGGCATGCCCTTTTTATTCAATGGCTGAAAATGGAATTTCATCCCCGCCTGCGTTATTAGTATACGCTGGCGGAGTAAAGGATGATAGGTGAGAATGAATGCAAGTCAATTGACCCAATTTGATTACGAATTCGACGACACTTCACCACGACGGTTACCAGTGGGTTCCGCGTGGAGGTTGACCTGATAGGGTAGATAGATGGATGGGGCTTTTAGATGCTTTTACTAACAATGGCGTCCGGGGAGCAGGAGGTGTCGAGCGAGTGGTGCACGGCGCACACGGAGGCGATGTCGCCGGGCGCGGCGGCGGGCGGCGCGGCGGCGGGCGGCGCTGGGCGCGCGGTCGGCGTCAGCACGGCCGCGCTGCTGGCTGTCGCGCTCATCGCGCTGCTGGCCGCGCTCGGCGTCGCGCTCGTCTACTGGAGGTCAGCCGCTTCTTCATTTTTTTATATTTTTTATTTTACAACACAGGGGGCAAACGAGCATGCGGCTCACCTGATGGTAAGTGACTACCGCCGCCCATGATCACCCACAACACCAGCGGCATTGCAGGTGTGCTGCCCGCCTTTTAAAAAGGAATATACTCTTTTCTTGAAGGTTATGTTGTCGTATCGGTTCGGAAATACTGCTGCTGGAAGTTGATTCCAAAGAATGGTTGTGCGTGGAAGAAAGTGCTTTGAAAAACGCATGGTGGAAGACTGCCACTCGTCCAGATGATTGGGATGAAGCTTTTACTTTAATTCCTTTCACTAACGCCATTACGTCCTGAGTGATGGCACATCGCTCGCGCTTCGGACGGATTCAAACTAGAACTACTATTATTTGCTACTCGAGCAAAAAACTACTATGGCGAGCAAACGAGGGCCCACCTCATATCGCGATTAGTAAATTCTCTACCTACCGACTTGCAAAGCAATATCACTGTTCCAATGATGTCCTAAAATTGATTAAGGTACGATGGGACTGACGTGTCTAAAAGGACAAAAGTCCCTAAATAAATAAAGATAAAAAAAAAGTTTAAATTAAAAGCGTATTTACTGTCCAACCTTGCTAAAACAGCACAATATTAATGTGAATATTGACATTTGAGAAGGAAATGTAAAGTATCACACACAAGTCCAGGTTTAAGTGTTAAGTGATACTAAAAATCCATAGTTTTTTTTTTAATGTATTTGCATGCTAATTAAATAAATAAAAAAAAAATGTTAAATATTTGTTTAGTATGCGGAAGGGATTCCGCGTGCACGATGTGACAACATTTAGGCCCTACACAATATGGTTATAATTGTCATTAAGATAGGCGAATGAGCTGACGGCTCACCTGATGCGAAGTGGTATACTGTTGTCTGTATATAGTGAAATCGAAGTCGTTAGCCGTACTTAAAACTAATAATATTGTTCTTAAAAAAAAAAAAAAAAAACTTACAACTATTTTAACTATGTGGTGTAGTTGTAGTATGAGTGTAGTTTTTCTATGAGATTAGGGCAAAAGAAACGTCCATAGCTAAAATTGGTTTATTAATAAGATAATTGTCATTTTTATGAATAAGTAAAAATCTACCCATGTTATTTATTTATTTTGGAAAACGTACAGCTGAATTACAGTCAATACATAATCAAATTTATATCTATGTTAAGCCATGAATCGTTTTCACATTTGCGCAATGACACAATTGATCGGTTTTTATATATGCAAAATATATACATACATACATATACACACATATACATATATATACATAAATATATAAAGTTATATAAAGAATATATCAGGTTAGATATTTTGTGAATTAAAAATTCGATACCATAACAAAATTGTGATATCTCATATGAAGTTAACAACTGAACTGTTTTAGTCACTTACTTTAAAACTAACTTGGAATTTTCTCACCCCTTTTTTTTATTTTTGTTATTTTTCCTGATTTATAATAACTATGTGTACTTATATAAGTCTAAAGGATAATAATGATGATAATTAATGTTGTTTTAATATTACAGATGCCGCTCCCGTCTTAGTAAATGTATAAGTGCAGCTTACAATTATTTAGAAGAGGGTGGCGAGCGAGCCGCCAGAGCACCGCTTAATGTTTACAAAAAACCTGGTGAGTGTCTAGTAATCGTTTATAAATAAAAAAAATAATGAAATATAAGTGTTGTAATAACAATATAATATTAAAACATAGAATAGATGTCGATATTTTAATGTTAATGTAATCGTGACAGATGTTAACACATGACAAGTCACTTAGATGGTAAAAAACCTTTTCTGAAACATGCTTAGAAATGTGAGCATTATTTTACAATCTTCTTCGAGATAAATCAAAATTGCCGTACTGGCCAGATACATGCGGACAGCGGCCGGCAAAAGTTGTACGAAAATCCATATCTGTCGTGTTTTGGAGCCAGATAAATTACTAACATATGTAAATTCATATCTGTCCTGTTATTTAAAAATGGAATGACTTTTTACTTCGAAACATGGCTACCAAGGAGGTAACTAATAAAAGGTTTTATTTAAATTTCGAACTGGCTTACAAATAGAAAGCTGTTTATTGAAAAAAAAAAAAAAAACAAAGGAACATTATGGCGCGTGAAAAATTATTATTGTTCGTTATTCGTCATTGAACTTAAAAAGTAAAATTGTGTTTTTGAATTCTGCGCATTGTTTGAGAAATGTACTATACAAGTCTTGGCCACAACTAGGCATTGATGGACTCACGTATGTGTGCCTCGGCTACGTCTCGGTCCACATTTGCACGTTCGTCTATCAATGCCTCAGTTGCTGGCCGCTGCAGTAAGGTACTATTGTATTGCTAACAATGGGGTTTTCAGATCCCATTGCTAACAATTTTTTTCTTTCTTTTGTGAGAAGGGGAGGGGAGGTGTAAACAAATTTGGCAGGATAGTAATGTTTGGTAACGTTCGGTGTCCAGTGTCGAACTGCTCGCCGCTGCGCGCGGGCGGCGGCGGCGGCGGCGGCGCGGCGGGCGCGGAGGGCGGCGGCGGCGCGGCGGGCGGCGCGGGCGGCGAGTGCGCGGCCGGCCGCCCGCCGCGCATGGCGGGCCCGCAGCGCCCGCCCGTGCCCGCGCGCGGCTTCCCGCGACACGTCGCCGCGCTGCACGCCGACGGCGACATCGGCTTCAGGTGCAAACACTGTATTATATCTGTCGTGAACCCATACCTACTCTACTGTAATTATGTTGGCTTTACTCACTTTTTAAATTCAGAACTGGCCGACTAGTTCCCAAATTTTTTTTTTTTTTTTTTTACAACACAGGGGGCAAACGAGCATGCGGCTCACCTGATGGTAAGTGACTACCGCCGCCCATGATCACCCACAACACCAGCGGCATTGCAGGTATGCTGCCGGCCTTTTAAAAAGGAATATACTCTTTTCTTGAAGGTTATGTTGTCGTATCGGTTCGGAAATACTGCTGCTGGAAGTTGATTCCAAAGAATGGTTGTGCGTGGAAGAAAGTGCCTTGAAAAACGCACGGTGGAAGACCGCCACTCGTCCAGATGATTGGGATGAAACTTTAGTTTGTGGCGGGTTGTACGGTGGTGAAAATCAGCAGCAGGTATCAATCCGAACAATTCCTCAGAACACTCCCCATGATAAATTCGGTAGAAGATGCACAGAGACGCAACATCTCTGCGCAGTTTCAATGGGTCAAGTCGGACAGTAAGGCGTTGACTATCGATAATTCGAGCCGCCCGACTTTGAATGCGGTCTAACGGAAGGAGTTGGTACTGTGGCGCTCCTGCCCACAGGTGAGAACAGTATTCCATATGCGGCCTGACTTGGGCTTTATATAATTTCAGGCGGTGTTCTGGCATGAAATATCGTCTCACCCTATTGAGCACTCCTAACTTTTTGGAAGCTATCTTAGCCTTCTCCTCCAGATGACCGCAAAACTGGACGTCGCAAGATATATCAACGCCCAGAATTCCTAGACTTGACTTTTTATCAAGGGAAGTGCCCTGAAAGTGAGGAGATACGACAAACGGCGTCTTTTTTGCGGTAAACGCGCAGACTTGTGTCTTTTTGGGGTTAAATTGGACAAGATTTTGTTCACCCCAGATCGAAACTTGATGGAGTGAAGTTTCGATTTCAGACACAAGTCTATTCCGGCACTCATCGGTATGTGCCCGCGAGATCTTTGCATGACCGGTATATAATGTATCTCCTGTACTGTCGTCCGCATAGCAATGAATATTACTTATCTGTAACATATCATTGATATGCAGAAGAAACAGAGTCGGAGATAGTACACAGCCTTGCGGGACACCAGCATTCAAAGGTTTTAAATCAGAGCATGCACCGTCGACTACGACCTTAATGCTACGTTCCTTGAGAAAACTGGCGACCCAAATGCACAGTCTCGCAGGCAACCCAAATGAAGGTAGCTTTGAAAGCAGCGCTCTATGCCACACTCGATCAAAGGCCTTCGCAATATCCAGACTAACTGCTAAGGCCTCTCCCTTACTCTCGATTGCCACTGCCCATCGGTGTGTTAAGTAAGCTAAAAGATCACCGGCCGAACGTCCCTGTCGAAAGCCATACTGGCGATCACAGATCAGCCGGTGCTCTTCTAGGTACCGGAGCAGTTGACGGTTAATGATGGATTCCATAACCTTCGAGAATAAGGAAGTGATAGCTATGGGCCTATAGTTAGCTGGATCTGAGCGATCTCCCTTTTTAGGGATCGGATGCACCAGAGCAGTCTTCCAAAACTTTGGGACTATGCCCGATGAGTAGCTAAGCCGAAAAAGACGCGTAAGAACCGGAGCCAACTCTGGTGCGCACGTCCTAAGCACAATTGGAGGAATACCATCAGGCCCACTCGACTTATGGATTTCGAGAGAGAAAAGTGCTCTACGCACTGAGCTATGCGTGAATTTAATGTCAGGCATAGAGCTCCTACAACACGTGATGGTCGGTGGTGGTTTCTCCCCGTCATCCAATGTCGAGTTTGACGCAAAGATGGATCCAAGAAGATCGGCCTTTTCTTTAGCGTTCTGGGCCAACGAGTCATCCTCCCTGCGCAAAGGTGGAAAAGATGACTTACAGAAATTCCCTTGTGCAGCTTTGGCAAGAGACCAGAAAGCTCGAGTCCCAGAGGGCAAACTAGCCAGTCTCTTGCCAATTCTACTAATATGCTCTGACTTCGCTGTGGCTATAACTCTTTTGAAAGACCTAGAGGCAGAGTTATACTTCTTTTTAAGAGCACTGGTGTTAGGATCTCGCGACGCCACACCTTTAGCCCAGGTTAGGAAGCACTCCTGTTTCAGACGAGATGCTGTTCTACAGGAGGCTCCATACCAGGGCTGGGATTTCCCGCCGACGGGCACCACAGAGTTAGGAATAAATAATTCCATTCCCTGAAGCACCACATCAGCAATGGAATCGGCAATGGCGTCGGGATCATCCAGTGTGAAGCAAACCTGCCTCCATGGGTAAGATGCGAAAAAAATCCGCATCTCATCCCAATCCGCCGACCTGTAGTGCCAAATGCGACGTCTACCCGTAGAACGAGGTGGAGTCGGACTCGTAAGAGGCACTTCGCTCCGCACCAAACAGTGATCCGACGATCCAAGCGGGGCTTCGACGGAGATCACATAGTTGTCTGGGTGGGTGGTCAGCAGAAGGTCCAGCAGTGAAGGTGAATGATCCAACACATCAGGGATTCGCGTAGGCGAGGAAACAAGCTGTGTCAGACCATAAGCCAAAGCAAAGTCATGAACAGATCTTCCCGCATAGTCGGTTGTACGCGAACCAAGCCATTCGGCATGGTGGGCATTAAAGTCGCCAACAATCACGACTTCAGCGGAAGGAATCTGCTCAAGCAGGGAATCTGTAGCCATTTGGACGTGCTCAATTAGTTGGTCGGTTTCAGTGTTACCGCTGTGGGACCTGTATAGGCACGCATAGATGCGGGGATGGTCATTGCAATCTACGCGCAGCCATAGAATGGACAGGTCCGTACCTTCAAGAGTCCCAAGGCGTCGACAGCAGATATCCTCTCTGACATACGCACATACACCGGCACGCGAAACAAAACAATGTTCAAGCTTATACCCCGGGTAGGTCAGGTATGATGTTTCGTTAGGAGGGGATATCTGTGTCTCCGTGAGGAAGAGCAATGCCGGCCGCGCCGTTTCTAGGTGGTGGTGGACAGCGTTCAGGTTTGAATGAATTCCCCTAATATTACAGAGGCTCACATTGAGCAAAGGGGATGCCGCAGAAGTCTTGCTCTGTTTGCCCTTGGTCCCATAGAGCGCAATTTTGCCCCCCCCAGAATACGCAGGGCAGCCCGAGCGTGGTTGCTCGAGGGAGGATTCTCCAGCAACATGGCTGCTGGTACCTCCCTGGGGTACGTTATTTTTTTTAAATTCCACTGCCATGGTATTGAAAGATGGGGGGACGGAGTTGGGGGAGGATTTTAGGATAAGGAAGGGGATGGGTATAGGATGGGCCTCCGGACTCCCTCACTCACCATACGGAATGTGGTCGCACTAAAAGTGCGGCCACTTAGCGTCGGTATTCTGTGAGGGTGTGGTACTTCCCCGGTCGAGCCGGCCCATTCATGCTGCAATACCATATGGTATTACAGCGTGGCTCTACCACCTACAAATTAATATTCATAACCGCTACTCACGACTGTACTGCAAGTAAACTGCGACTAGTGTGCTGTTTGTCGCTACACACATGCATACAAAACACACACACACACACACACACACACACACACAATTGCATAGTACTATACAATCGATTCCACCACTACCACTTGCGCCGATCACACGCGCATAGCGTTGTCATGATACTACGCAGCGCGCTGTATCACGCATTCGACGTCGTAGTCCAAGATATGAAATGATTTGTCTATGAAACATTAGAAATCGAGCCAAGCGTAAGAAATTGAGCTGAAAAGTAAATCCTACCTAAAAAACCTAGGTTAATAAAGAAGAACTTTTTCTACCTAGCGTTATCAATTCTTAATATATTCCCGTAAAATATATTATTTCTCATAATATAAATAAATACATTCTGATCATCTTACAGTACTACAGGTTTGAGTAACTATTCTTAATAGTTAGATTAATTTAATTATAGTTAATTTTGATATTGGAGTCAACAAATATCAAAAACTAAACCATAATTCGAAAAAAAGATGGCGTATGACTGTACTTGACTTAGCAAACATACTACCATGCCCTGATAACAGTATTAAATACATATATGCAATAATTAGATATATTGCGTTTTGTTTTTATACAGCAAAGAGTACGAGATAGTGGTGACCAAGTCAGCAGCATTAGGCCATACAAGTCATCACAGCCAGCGACCTGAAAACAAACAGAAAAACAGATATCTCAACATTACTGCATGTAAGTATTGAAAATTGTTTGCTGTCTAGAGTAGAGGATTCGTATACAACTGACATGGCAGTATTTTATGTTGTTTATATGTATATGTTCATATGGCGCCCTCTAGACATAAAGTGTGATGAATTAAAACGTCCTAAAGCTTATAATCGATTCCTACTGTTAGAATGTTTTGTTTTGTTAGTGTAGGTAGTATACGACTACGATTATCATCTGAAAATCTCTGAATAAGTAATAAATACATTAATTTTTTGTTAAGTATATAAGATTATTTTAATGTTGGTACATAACAACTTTACATGACAATATTTTTTTGTTTTATATTTTTTAGACTGTAATATTTTAGAAGTCTGGCTTCAGTTTTTGAACTTATTTTCCTTGCAGTTTCGATTCTTTATAAATTTAGAAGTGTCACGTGTATGCATTGAAATTATACGCACACTAGTGTAGTGGCAGTGTGTGAGTGTGTGAGTGTGTGAGTGTGTGAGTGTGTGAGTGTGGAGAGGAGTTGGTTACCGTGTCGCGCGTGCGTTGCAGACGACCACTCGCGCGTGTGCGTGTCGGCGGGCGGGCGCTGCGGGGCCGCGGGGTGCGTGGGCGCGGGCCGCGGCGCCGCCTGCGACTACGTCAACGCCAACTTCATCGACGGCCTGCTGCCCGCGCTCTCCGCCGCCGCCGCCGCGCGGCTGCGGCGCAAGCTCGAGCGCCGCAACCGCCCGCACAGGTATGCTGCACCACAACCTCAATCTACTGATTAAACGGTCACATGTTACCGACATTACAACATTTACAATATTGCATGTTTATTTATACATTGCTAAATTTTAAATAGGTTGCCCGCACGCACATACACGCACACAAAAATAGTAGCTTCAATAGTAACAAAATTAAAATAGGACCATCACAGGTGAGACGTTAATTGAAAAAAAATAAGATTTTTTTTAATGAATGTCTTTTTTCCTGTGTTGTACGTTATTACACAGTTACAGTTGAAGAAAAAACTGGGAATAATCTTTTAGATCTGGGGAGAATCTTTTTTCTCATCGGAACGAGTTGTTGGAAGGTAAATTAAACAACCTATTATTTGAATTTCCTTGTTTTTCCATTTAAAATATTATATTAGAAGACTCAACAGAAATAAAAATTATGAGAAATAGGTCACACAAAAAAAATAGGGGCTGGCACAAGGTAATATTGCAGCACACTATCTAAACACATAATAGTTGCGCGTGCTTATATGTCAAGTTATTAGCTGTTTATGTCGCAACATTTCTAGGAAAACGCTAACTAGGTAATTTATTATTTTATTCTTGCAGACAACCATCAATAAAACCAGTCAAACCACCACCGGACCTCGCCGAGGGCATAGAGTCTGCATTTTTGAACATAGAGTTCTCTGGTATCGTGGAATCGGATGATCAAAATGAGGATTCCGATAGTGAACACAGTGATGACGACGGCGAGCTTGACGATGTGTACGTCAATCTTGGTGAGTTTCTTCTTTGTTTTGGTGTTTACTTTTAATTCAGTATGAATTTTAATTACGTTTTATTTGAACTCATTCAATGACAGTTCCGTTCTTCTTTATTCAATTTCATAAATGATATCAAATAACATGTATATGTTCAGTTACATTCAATCTATTTCTCGGCTATATTGTAGATGGTGTTAGTACTAACGCGTAAAAAATCATATTCATTTTACCATGTATTTGTTAACTTTTCATTCAATAAAATATATTCTATTTTATGTACCTTTTTATTATTCCTTTTTAGTTCCGTCCATTTATTTATCCGATTTTTTCTAGATGGTGTACCAACGCGTGTAAAATTAGAATGGCTTATATGGAGGCGGCGGTATATAGCTACTCAGGGTCCCACGCCGGCGACGCTTGACGCGTTCTGGCGTATGATCTGGCAACACCGAGTGCACACAATCGTAATGATCACAAATCTTGTCGAGCGAGGAAGGGTAAGTTATTATAAATATATAAATTAGTTAAACATTTTATTATTATTATACATTAATAAGTAGTTACCATTTATCAAAGAAAGGAGATGTTATATCCGGCTCGAAGGATCATAATTTTTATGGTATTTAGTTTTAATATTTAATTTAATTTTAATATTACAAATATTAAAATTAAATTATATGATGTTGATTTTTATTTTATTATATTTCTAGACAAGGCCTCGAAAGGATTACTGTATGCTATTTGCGCGCGCTACTTATGCATTTCTGCAATATGTGAATGCCGGTACTGCGCTATGAGGTGTGACCTCGTAACCTGAGATCCTACCATGAAATATTTTCTGCAATTTCGGGGCCGAACGATACAATAATACATGCCATTTAAAAATTTAAAAAATGTTGAAGTGTCTGAAGTTCTTTGGACTATTATGGCAAATATTATAATGAATGCAATGTAAGCTCCATTTATTGGGCTGATTTCGATACGCGCAAAAACACGAAATTGAGCTCGAAAATTCGTAATTTCATTTCGTGGTAGACCCCCGTTTTCTGGTTAAATCGACGTATGTTATGTGCGTTGTGAGTAAGGTTGTGAGGTGTGCGCGGTGCGTGGTTTGCAGCGCAAGTGCGACATGTACTGGCCGGGCGGCGGGCGCGGCAGCACGGCGCAGCACGGCGGCGTGCTGGTGACGCTGCTGCACGAGGACGTGCGCGCCGCCTACACCGTGCGCCACATGCGCGTGCGCCCGCATCTACCGCACAAGGTACCGCTCGCTTCCTTCCCACGTCTGCCTCTTGTCTGCACGTTGCTCTGCTGCACACGGCCCTACGGACCATTCTCGACATAAATAAATGACGTTATTTTTTTTTATGCTGATCAAATAAAGTCATTTGTTTGGGTACCTCTGCCCTATTCGTGTTTCTACAAGAATGCAGTTGTGTTTGGCAGCATGGCTGCATTCCAGTTTGAAACGTGGGATATGGCAGTGAATTTACAGGGTACAGATGAGTAACATCTGAGTCCTGAAGAATGGCAACGCATTGTGAATACCATGGGTGAAACAGTACACTCTGTTATGTCCATGGTACTGCTCATGTTTATAGGCGACAGTTACCACTTTCCATTAAATGGGGCCGTCAGCTTGTTTGCCATTCTAAGTTGCATAAAAAAGGGGTTTTAGTCTTTGCCAGTCTATGATTTTAATTCAAGCTTTTCTTCTTGCACTGGTTTATTATATTTCCTATGTCACCCTGACATTCTGAGAGTCTAAAGGAATGATGAAATATTGTTTTTCTACTCACTACATGAACTTACAGTATTATATTTTTTTATTTAGGGTAGTGAAACAAGCAGCGCGAGCGATGGTAGTGGCAACGGTAACGGCGGTGCAGGGACAGGCAACGAGGGTCGCAGCGTAGTGCAGTACCACTACACTGTATGGCCGGACCACGGTACACCGCGGCACCCGCTGGCCGTGCTGCCATTCGTGCAGGCCGCCTCCGCAGACCCTGGCACCGTACTCGTACATTGCAGGTAACATAATATGTTGGCTAGTTAAGGTATTGAGGCAAACAGTACAAATGACAGCAGCATGGGCAGCTTCAGCGATAGGGTTTTTTTATCGGTGATAATGGAGTAGCAACCCCGCCCGTGCTATCGGTATACACTGGCGAGGTACCAGTGAGAGATGATAGGTGAGGATAAAGCAAGTCATGCCCATCATGACGAATTCAACAAGAATTGTTCACGATGGTTTCCAGGGGGATCCATATGGTGGTCGACCTAGTAGAGTATATTGTTAGCAATGGGGCAGTCAAATTCAATTGCTTATAATCCTTTTCCCCTCAGCGATAGGGTAAGCATAGACTGTCTTCTCAGTAAACCATGTTCACGCACTACAAATAACATTGGTATAAAAATGTAGAACCTAGAATCGAGCCTTGTGGTACACTCTGTTATGTCACTTTTAATTAGGCTATGCACCTAAATAGTGTAACGAGTTGAGAAGGATGATGGATTATCTATATATAGGTATAGATAAAAGCCTTCAAAGTGTCATAAATGTCTTAATGTTTTCATACTAAACAAAAGCGAGCTCTTTCCTCGTCTCTGCTTTACTTTTTCAGCAAGGGGTGAAAATTTTAAATTAAATCGAAATAGTAATTTTCAATGAGAAATACTATTCTAAAGTGTTTTATTTATCGGCTGTTAACTGGACACTGTTTAACAAAGGCCTCCCCTATAAAGGGGGGGGGGGGGATTGCTAGTAATTGTCACGCTTGGCAAGCGAGTTGGCAACCGCAGTTAGCCTTTGTTGATGTTTTAAGTTTTATGTTTAATGTCGTAAAAAATATTTGAGGAAACGTCTGTCCATATTTTTTGATAAAACATAATTTGTTACAGCGCCGGCGTCGGCCGCACGGGCACGTACATAGTCTTAGACGCACAACTGAACCAATTGAAACTGACTGGTACTCTGTCTCCTCTCGGGTTCCTATGCCGCGCCCGCACACAACGGAACCATCTCGTCCAAACCGAAGAACAATATGTATTCGTCCACGACGCCTTATTAGAACACGTCCGCTCCGGCGACACGGAAGTCGAGTTCGACAAAGCCAGAGAGTATTTAGTAAAACTACTGCAACCGATAACGGAAGAAGAATTAGCTGTTCTAGATTTGAATTCAAAAAGTAAAAGTGTCAACGACCTTACAAACGGAGTGGATGAGACGTCTAGTGTGAAGTCGAGTCAAGCGAATGAGTGTAGCGAGAAAGAAGTACTGGAAAATGGCAGTCAGATGTCTATAAAGACGGATGAATTGAACAGTGAACAGAGTAAATCACAGTCGTCCGCTAGAGATCTGGATGTTGATAGTGAACAAAAAGATGGTATGGTGAACGGTGAGGAGAACGAAGGGGTGTACGATTTGGCGCCGCGGTCTACTGATACGTATAGTAAGAAAATGCAAGCATATAACAACTTGAGTGAAGTCGAAAAGGAAGAAATCAGGAGGTGAGGTTCTTATTACATTTTATTGCTAAATATATAAGACATAAAGTTCAATTTTATTTATTTTTTTAATGCCTAATATACAGGGTGAACCGAGCTGAAAATTATGCGTTGTTGGAACGCATGCGGTCATTGGCTAACAGACATCACACATACCAGGGTCCTCCACCTGTCAATTTGCTGGAGAAACAGTTCTTGGTAAGTCATGTTCTATATGTCTAGTCTACTAGTCGACAAATGCTGCTTACTCATTAGGGATTACAGTTGTGAGCATATTTATTTATTTGTTTAGTTGGATTTTTTTTCTATATATAACTGAGAAATCGGTGGACCTCAGAGAAAAAAATATACAGTGGAATATAAAATCTCCTTTTTCGAAGTCGGTTAATAAAAGAAGTTTGATTATTGTACAGCTTGAACAGCTGGGTCTACAAATTTAGTTTAATATTTTAATAGCGTGAGTAATCAAAAGAAAATTACCGAAAATTCCATGGGAATGAGATTAGTGCGGATATTTACAAGTTAAATGTCTTTGATTACAGCTAATAACGCGTTCGTGCGTGGAGGCGAGTGTGTGCGCGCGCGCAGCGCACAACGCGGACAAAAACCGACCGGGCGGCGTCCTGCCTTCCGATGCCGCGCGTGTGCTTCTCGTACCCAAGCCTGGGGTTGAAGGTGTGTATAGACTAAACTGTTATTCTCTAGTATAAGATAGTTTTTAGTGGGTCTGATTATATAGATTTTTTTTGTATTTTGCCATCTATACTTGTTAATGACGTTTAGTTGTGTTTGTATGGATGGTTCTAAATCTTCAATTTAATCAAAATATTGTTTGTAAAAATGTGCATGTTTAATATTATATGATGTAGTGGCGTAAATTACATATGCATCTGGTGCTACCACATGTGTGTTCTGTTGTTGATTATTGTTTTTATACAATTTAGAATGACAAACAAGCTGACGGCCCACCTGATGGAAAGTGGTAACCGTCGCCTATAGGCATGAGCAGTACCATGGATATAACATAGCATACTGTTTTGCCCATGATACCTCTATGAGTTGCCATTCTTGAGGACTTAAGTGTTATTCCTCTGTACCCTGTTCACAATTCACGTCATATCCCATCTTTCAAACTGAAACACAGCCATGCCAACACAACTGCTTCATGGTTGAAACACGAAAGGGACAGAGGTTCCCAAGCAAACGATTTTTGTACAAAGTCTTCCTCTGGTGAGGTCATCCGCTACAGAACGCCAATTTATCAAATTGCATATAACTGCACCGTTACGACAACATAACCTTCAAGAAAAGAGCATATTTATTTTTAAACAGTCGGCAGCATGCCTGCAAATGCCGTTGGTGTTGTGGGTGATCATGGGCGTCGCAGTCACTCACCATTAAGTGAAGCCGCACGCTCGTTTGCCCCCTGTGTTGTAAAAAAAAAAAACGTGTGTGACGAGTGCGATACGTGGTGCGCAGGCAGCGAGTACGTGAACGCGTCGTGGGTGTGCGGGCGGCGGCGGCTGCGCGAGTGGGCCGTGGCGCAGCACCCGGCGCGGCACAGCGCCGACCTGTGGCGCCTGCTGTGGGACCACACCGCGCAGCTCGTGCTGCTGCTCAGCGACGCCGCCGACCCGGTGCGACTCTACGCCCTCACCATATGCTTACGCTTATATATCTTGTCCACTTGTTTATACATAATAATCATATCTTAATATTACATCATCATCATCATCATCATCATCATATCAGCCCCCAATTGTCCACTGATGAACATAATCCTCCCCTTGGGGGGTTCTGCCAGTAGTTCTATGCTTGGCAGGCGGATTGCCAACCGCAGTCAGGCTTAAGAGATGTTTAGGAGGGACGCTGCTGCGCATCCCTCGCCCTCCCTTAGTCGGTTCTTACGACACGCACAGGAAAGGAAGGGGTGACCTATTCTATCCCGGGACCACATGGCTATTTAATATTACAATAGATATTAACATAATATTTGTATTTCAGGAATGCGAAGTATTTTGGCCAACGGAAGAAGAAAAAGAATTATTTGTAGCGAATTTCAGAGCGACTTTCGTCTCTAAAGATACGTATGTTGCGTATCGGAAATCGGATAGAAAAACACCGGTCGAAACTCCCACCGAAACGGAAATGAATGGTTACAGACGACAAGAGAGCAGCGACTGTGCAGACGACGAGAGATTAATACCAGAAAACAACTCGCCAGTCGCTGATACCGAACCCACGTATAGATTCGACAGAACAGAACTGAGACTGGAAAGATTGAGCACTGGTAATCGAGATCTGTCGACGAGGAAATCGATAGCGAATGGCGACTTGTTTTCATCGTTATCCGAGAAGAAAAACGGTCCAAAGTCTCCTAGAAGTCCATCAAAAATGTCCCTTAAAAATTTCAAGCTAAGTTCGCCTACCAAGTTCAAGTTCCCCGAGTGGGGCACGCGGACGGCCGGCTCGCCGCCCGACACCGCGCCGCCCCCGCCCCCCGTCGCCCCCTCGCTCACCGTCGAGGAGGAGGCTGAGCTCCGGCGGCCCTGTTATATGTTTGAGAAAGTCGAGACGGTTCCAGAAGATGTACCCTCGGACCGTGTTATAGAAGTGATAAATGTTAGTGTACACTCGTTACAAGATGATTATCAACTAAGTGTTAAGTTTATCAGGTGTAGTGGCTGGTTGGAGGGCGATACGACGGAGTACATAGCCGGGAGACCGGACGATAACGAGTTCGTGAGGGGTGTGAGGCAAGCAGAATGTGAAAGTGAGAGGGAACAGGCGCTCGATAGGCTCATAGAGCCATACAGAGACTCGTTCGCGTTGATAGAATTTGTTGCTGGTTGCCAAATGGAATATAAGAATGGACCCGTTGTCGTTGTCGACAAGTAAGTTGCGATTTTATAATTATGTTTAGTATTATTTCTTCAGTGACTATTTTCAGTATCGTGCGCATTTCGTATATTTACACACTTTTCGTGTCTATCGGCTAATGTTAGTATTAAAAATTTAAGTATTGTACTATATCACTACATAGTATAAAACAAAGTCACTGTCGCTATCTGTCCGTCTCTATGTATGCTATATATATAGATATATATATATATATATATATATATATATATATATATATATATATATATATATATATATATATATATATATATATATAATAATATTGTAGAGAAGCACTGATAAATTTAGAGGTTTCTAATGTGATGTCGTAAATAAACACATTTTTTGCGCTTACATTACAAATGCTGGCTGAACCCTACGATATAAATCAAAATAATGTATTACAGTATTGTACACCTCAAACAGGTCACCAAAAAAGTCCACGATTATATATATCTATCTCTTAAGGATAACCCACAATAACCATTTTTTATCTTTTACATTTTACGGAAAAAATTGCTTATTTAATTTGAAGTGATTTTAAGCAATACAGCATTAATTTTTATCCAATTAAGCTTCTTAAATACATTGTCCATTTAATATAGACAAATATTGTTCTTTACAGCATTTAATTTAAATGAATATTTTCTAAGAAATTACAGATTTAATTACAGGGACATAGCGGTGCGGCGGTACCGTCTCGGCCGGCGGCATGCCTATATAATAAATAAAATATGCCATTGCACCTGTGTGAAGCCGGGGCGGGTCGCTAGTAGATTATATTTATATATATTATTGAAGTACTCATTTTTAATAAAAATATAAATACGTAGGAGCATGTAGGAGTGTATATGCGTGCTAAATACGCATGCTAAAGAAAATGATTTTGTGCTGTTTCAGATATGGAGGGTGGAAAGCGATGACGTTCTGCACGCTAAGCGCGGCGTGCGGCGGCGCGCGCGACCCCCACGCTCGTGACCCGCACGCCGCATTCCGTACCGCCGCCGACGAACGTGCCGCCCTCTACCGCAGTAGCGCGCTCGCCGCGCACGCACGCTGCGGCGCCGAGCAGCGGCCGCACTCGCTGCCCGCGCTGCTCGCCGCCTACTGCGCGCTCGCGCACTACGGCCGCCTGCTGCACGCGCGCGCCCGCAGGTCAGTACGCACACCCGCGCCCGCCGCGCCCGCCGCGGCCCGAGCAGCGCCCGCACTCGCTGCCCGCGCTGCTCGCCGCCTACTGCGCGCTCGCGCACTACGGCCGCCTGCTGCACGCGCGCGCCCGCAGGTCAGTACGCACACCCGCGCCCGCCGCGCCCGCCGCGGCCCGAGCAGCGCCCGCACTCGCTGCCCGCGCTGCTCGCCGCCTACTGCGCGCTCGCGCACTACGGCCGCCTGCTGCACGCGCGCGCCCGCAGGTCAGTACGCACACCCGCGCCCGCCGCGCCCGCCGCGGCCCGAGCAGCGCCCGCACTCGCTGCCCGCGCTGCTCGCCGCCTACTGCGCGCTCGCGCACTACGGCCGCCTGCTGCACGCGCGCGCCCGCAGGTCAGTACGCACACCCGCGCGCGCCGCGCCCGCCGCGGCCCGAGCAGCGCCCGCACTCGCTGCCCGCGCTGCTCGCCGCCTACTGCGCGCTCGCGCACTACGGCCGCCTGCTGCACGCGCGCGCCCGCAGGTCAGTACGCACACCCGCGCCCGCCGCGCCCGCCGCGGCCCGAGCAGCGCCCGCACTCGCTGCCCGCGCTGCTCGCCGCCTACTGCGCGCTCGCGCACTACGGCCGCCTGCTGCACGCGCGCGCCCGCAGGTCAGTACGCACACCCGCGCCCGCCGCGCCCGCCGCGGCCCGAGCAGCGCCCGCACTCGCTGCCCGCGCTGCTCGCCGCCTACTGCGCGCTCGCGCACTACGGCCGCCTGCTGCACGCGCGCGCCCGCAGGTCAGTACGCACACCCGCGCCCGCCGCGCCCGCCGCGCCCGCCGCGGCCCGAGCAGCGCCCGCACTCGCTGCCCATGCACAAGTCATTACTCGCATCGCTCTTATAATCCGGCTCGAAGGACCAAATGTTGGCGCTCTTTGTTAAGCACCTATGTTAATAACTGCTAAATTTTGTTGATATTACTGTGATGAGTACAGGTCGTTATTAAAATTAATCAAAGGTATTGATTTAAAGTGTATACTTGGATGCTTTAATTTTAAAATTAATCATTAAAATTTCTAAAATTTGTACGTTCAGCCATTACGTACGTTCATACATTTGTACGTTCGTCCATCAATGCCTCAGTTGCTGGCCGCTGCAGTAATGTACTATTTCTCAAACATGCTTGGAAATATGAGCATTATTTTGACAATCTTCTTCGAAATAAATCAATTTTGCCGTACTGGCCAGATACATGCGGGTAGCGGCCGGCAAAAGTTGTATGAAAATCTATATGTCGTGTTTTGCGGCCAGATAAATTACTATGTGAACTCATATCTGTCCTGTAATTTAAAAATGGAATGACGTTTTACTTCGAAACATGGCTACCAAGGAGGTAACTAATACAAGGTTTTATTTAAATTTCGAACTGGTTTGCAAATAGAAAGCTGTTTATTGAAAAAAAAAACAAAGGAACATGATGGCGCGTGAAAAATTATTATTGTTCGTTATTCGTCATTGAACTTAAAAAGTAAAATTGTATTTTTGATTTCCGCGCATTGTTTGAGAAAAGTACTATACAAGCCTTGGCCACAAGTAGGCATTGATGGACTTACGTATGTGTGCCTCGGCTACGTCTCGGCCCACATTTGCACGTTCATTCATCAATGCCTCAGTTGCTGGCCGCTACAGTAATGTACTATTATTTTAATAAAAATTATTATACATGTTAAACATATGTATTAACAAATGTTCTCTATTGCAGGTTTTCCAAATCATCGCACCAAGAGTCACGGTAATACTCTAGTTGTTATGGAATAATTATGGAATAAATACTCAGTGCGTTGTGTGGCCAGGCCGCCATAGTTACTCTGTATGCGTCGATGGATGACGTATACGAATGCAGTATGGCGCGGAGTTTTGCGTCACTACATCTCACGTTGAGCGTCATACAGTAGAAGTCAAAGTGTTGGCGGCATTGTAACATAAAAACATATGGCAGCTATTCCTTCTAACTAGATAATACAGACAATTCGTGAATCCGGCAAAACTCAATTCGCCTAATATAATCTTTACTGTAATGTGAAAATAATTCCTCCCCTTTGGGTGATTTGTACGTTGTTATTTTTATGAATTACGTGAATCACATATGTTCGAACTGAAACGGGACCGTCTTTAGCATATTTTCTGGGGTGTTAGGGGAGGGAGAATTGATATTGTATAATTATTGACTGTCCATAAAAAAGATTAATACGGTAGCAACCGAGAATAAAAGACTTGAGTAATCTATTCACTCTTAAATCCTGCACCCCGGAAGTAAAGACGGATCTTGTCGAGATATTTGGACCAACATTTGTATGTTGGCACCAATTTTGTTTTCAGACACAACGCTAGCAGTTCCCCTATCAGATAGTTCTCACGGAGTGAAATATGCGCTAATTGTGACACGAGAATATGTCAATCTGATCACTGCCACTAATGTGATATGGCCTTAATTGTTGGTTTTGTATTTAATTTATTAGATTTCCAACCTTAAGTAAAAACCAGTACGGTTCACTATTACATTAATATCAGTGAGAAGTCATGTATTTAGTGGGATATCAGTTCATAATTCACTTCGTTTGACTATCGTTTAACATTATAAAAGAATGTGTTCGACATATTCAGCGTTCACTCAAATTATATTTAAGAACACAAATATGGCATTTATTATTTTTTAGTATTTCAACAAATACATTTGAGGCAATCAGTGATGCTCAAAGTGTTAAACAATAATTTAGAGAAAAAAATAATTTCGAAGTAAGGCTCTTTTGTCTCAAGTAAGATGTTTCTTATGAAATAAGATGTGGTTGTGTGCATTATGAATATTTATGTCACGAGAAATGATAAAAGGATTTTTCTAGTATTTTTTTTCGAAGCTAGACCACCTGTCACGTGCCTTTACTTGGGCGTTTTATGTTGCTTTGCACGGTTGTAAATCTAGATATATTTAGATAGATCTAGTAGATATGTTTTCGGTACTTCATTGAGAAAGAAGACGCCAATCGTCGTTGTCTCATTCTATCCCAGTCATGTTGTAGCAAAAACATATTTATCGAGATTGTTCACTTGGCCAGGGTTGGAAAAGAACACTTTAAAATTTGCGTATATGTACGCAGGATAGGAATCTGTTGGTAATTTTTATGGGACACTGTAATCACATTGACATAATAAATAAGCTATAGATAATTGGCATTGATATGCCAGGTATAAAAAATATGAATCTCGTTTTATTTCTAAATTTGAGTAGTAACAATAAACCTATTAACGAAATCACAATGGAAATAAAGCTACATTTACCTATATTAGAGAAGATAACTACAACTTGGGCCCAAGCAAAGACACTGACAGGTCATACAATCCATAACTTTGATTAGCATTTCCATAGAGTACATAGAGTGCAATAGATTAACGCATAAAAAACGAGTAAATAGAGTTATATTTTTAATATTTTCTTTTTTCGTAGCAAAGTCTATGGCATTAGATATTTTGTCGTTGGGCGACATTTTTTTCTTTATAATTAAAATATACATGGATATAATTGTGTATAACGTATTTTATAATGGGACTTCGCGGCGCGTAGACGTTCAAAAGTGAACTTTATTAGTCCTATGTATTCAAGTTGTATTGTTTAGACTTATATCACTTTAATAAGGTTCAATTTTGGATGGCACAAGGCGGAGTAGATTCTATTTGTAATTCCTATTAAATCAAGTTTATGGTCCAGTATTTTTTATTATAATACAATTAATCTAGTTACTGTAATTACGATATAAATGTGAAGACTGCTTTTTAGTGGTTCGTCAATTAAGATGTGCAAGGCTTCGCTGTTTGTGGTGTAACTTTACTGAAAATATCACGGAATACCTGTTTATATTCTAATTCCACCATAATATTTTTTTTATTACAAACCTGTAGTGTACTGTTGGCCTTAACATATTGATAGGTTGTATAATTTTTAAGGCCATCTTTGCATTATGGAATAACCTACGTCAATATTTAGAATATTTACATGGGACCATCCTAAAAGTAAACCCATTTCAATTAAAAAAAATTATCATGTAAAATTTGATTTGCAAATCGCGGGAGTAATATTTGTACATATGTACATCCAAACAAGCAAGATTATGTTACATGAAATATAGCGACTTAAAATTAGTATGGGACCAAGACGGGAGTATAAATCTTTGATTTAAAAAAGAATTATCAAAATCAGTTCAAAATTAGTTTTTTTTTTAATCGAATGTAATCTTTTCCTTAATTTCAAAATTAAATTAATTTGATTACATACATTTTTTAGATAATTTCTTTATTGTGTGTAACAATGATATTTTTTTCGACACATTCATATAGTTGTTTACATAAGTACTATTTCTTTTTTAGTTCTAATAGTGTCTATTGAAGAATTTTATGTTTTATATTCTGGACGAAGTTGCTCACTAAAACTTTTTAAAATTTCTGAGCACCAAAGGTCCTTGATCCGTTCCGTCGAGACCTAGCGATGTACATATTTGTTTTTATAGTATCTATTGAAGAATTTTATGTTTTATTTTCTGGACAATGATGCTGACTAAAACTTCTTAAAATTTCTGAGCACCAAAGGTCCTTGATCCGCTCCTTTGCGACCTAGCGATGTATATATTTGTTTTTATAGTATCTATTGAAGAATTTTGTTTTATTTTCTGGACAATGATGCTGACTAAAAGTTTTAAAATTTCTGAGCACCAGAAATCTTGATCCACTCTGTCCGGACTAAGGATGTATATATTTGTTTTTATAGTATCTATTGAAGAATTTTGTTTTATTTTCTGGACAATGATGCTGACTAAAAGTTTTAATATTTCTGAGCACCAGAAATCTTGATCCACTCTGTCCGGACTAAGGATGTATATATTTGTTTTTATAGTGTCTATTGAAGAATTTTATGTTTTATATTCTGGACTAGGATGCTGACTAAATCTTCTTATAATTTTTAATTTCTAAAGGCTCCTGGTTTGTCATCGATACTAATCGATATATAT